ATCCATCGAAATTTAATTTGGTCGATATTTTAAAAGCTCGACACTTTTTTAGCTATACGAGTTTCCTTTCTATGGAGTTTGTCGGTAAAGTACATTGAAATTTTGCGGGAAATTTGAAATTATTGATGTAAATCATAATAACAACATAGAGAGGAAACTCGTATAGCTAAAAAAGTGTCGAGCTTTTAAAATATCGACCAAATTAAATTTCGATATGGATATAAAATTCGATACTTCTAAATTTCTATCATTTAGAATATCGAACAAATAAAATATCGACCACTTTAAATGTCGTTTATTTAGAATATTTACCAAACAAAATATCTAACTAATAAAATTTCGACCAAATAAAATATCGACTTAAAGTAATTCGATCAATTAAAATTTCCAACTTTTTAATTTTTGGGAAAAATCATGTGCCTTGGCCAATGCACAATGGCTTCGCAAACGAGATGCATGCGCTAGAAAAGGACAGATATTTATTCGTCCTTCTTTCACTCATGGTCTAGTAAAAAAATTTGACGATTCACGCATCTATACGTAATTTTCTTAGGAATTTTCAAAATTACCGATGTAAAAAAAGTATTGTAGAACAGCCTTAACAATTTTTAGTTACTACCCTAGTGATACCTAGGGAATTTTAAGTTTTTTGACTTCTGACGTTTTGACAGCATCCCAAGCAAAAATTTACAACCGGTACAGTGTTGCGCCAGTACTGGCAATTACTGGCAAAGTACTGACCGCCAATATTGAACCAATACTGGCATATATTTGGGATGATAACGTTTATCAATACTAGTCATTAGTAATGGCTTAGTACTGGCGTTCAGTACTGGTTCAATACTGGAATTTATCAGTAATTCTATATTTTGCCAGTACAAATAATTTCTTCAAATATTATAAAATAAATATTTTTTTCTATTATTTTGTTCAAATTACCGAAATTGAATGAAATTATTGGTTAAAATAGAGTTTATTTGATTCAAATATATTTTTTCAGTGTAAGAAAAATAATTTGGGAACTTTATTAGTTATATATTTTTTTTATTAAAAAATTTTAATATTAAATTTAAATTTCATAATTCTGTTAACGAACGCATTGCAGTAATCAAAAAGAAGTTTTAAAATAATAAAAAAAACATATATGTAAATTTAATTTCTAACCAACAATAATACATAATTTTTATAATTTTTCTCGATACTGACATTCGGTATTGAATTAATACTGACCGAGTACTGGTTTGCCATTACTGTCTCAATATAATATACTGGCACAGTGTTGGGAAAATATTGGCATGCCGGTATTGATTGACTATCACGAAAATGTGTAATTTTCAAGATATTTGCAAGTTTCCATACTTTTGGAACACCCTGTATAATAATATTGTTATAAATTGTTATAAATATTTATTAACATTTTATTTTCTCTCTACTGATATTTCTTGCATATATACAATTGTTAAATATTATTGAAACTCTCTTAAAAGAAAATTTTATTCTATTGCATCCAATAAGTGAGATGCCTCGAGCATATTGTCTGACTAAAGCCTTTCTTGTTCCACTTATTCGCCTGTTGGAAATATATTTCTGGCGCATAAAGCAAAGAGCCTGTGCCTTTTTTTCCTTTTGAATTTTACATGCACAATTTCACGAATGAATATAAAAAGAATTCTTAAACTCATGAAAATATAAACGTATGATTTTTTTAAATTATTGGAAAAGCGATTTCCTGAAAAGATTACTTGAAATATTAAAGTGATTCTTATTGTATGTAACTTTATTCACCACTTTATTTCTTATAACATTTCTGTATATTAATTATTAATGTCAATAAATTATTATTATTATTATTATTATTATTATTATTATTTATTAATTAATAAATTTAATCCTATGGCTGTAATTTCAATTTATATACTCAATATTGAAAATACATTTTGTATTGAATTATTATAAATTTAATATATTAATTAAACAATTAAATTTGATAAATTCAAAATGATGTCTAATTGAATTTAAAATGCATAATATTATGTTGAAAGGTAGGGGAGAGCGGGGCAAAGCCGCTGATGTAACATTTATTTATAAATATTTTTGTTATTACACCTTCAATTGACGTGATTTTTTTTTCTATTTCATCTAAAACTAATTAATAACAAATTTCAATAGTAATTATTTAATTTATTATAAGCTTGATTAATTAATTTAATTATTTTCAAAGAGATGCAAAAAAACGGCTTTGCCCCGTATGGCGGGGCAGCGACGTTTTTGCTTATATTTTTTAAAGGTAGAAAATTATAGCCGTTAAAACTGTACGAAGTTGCAGTAAATGACCTAATTATCTTTGAAACATAAGTATTTTATACATTTTTTAAAGAGTTTTAAGTTATTTTATAAAAAATATCAATACTTGTATTTTTAACCTCACATTTTGAATTCAACTCTTCACTTTTTCGTTGAAAAGTCTACTTTACCGACTGTTCAAATTCAAAAATAATTTAAATAACGGCGCAAAAAAAATATTATGAAATATTAATATTATATTTACATAAAATTGATCATTTTTTTAATTTTAATAATAAATTTGAATACTAATAAATTAATTTATGTTCTAAATGAAATATTATTTTAAAATTATACTATTTTAATATATTATATAATAAACACAGATATTTTACATAAAAATAACTAATTTCCTTTATTTTATTTGATTTTGTGAAATAATTTAACATAATAATATGGGTAATGTAAGATAATAACAATAATAATAAAAAATAATTAAATTGAAAATATGTTTATTTAATTTATTTAATTTATTTAATTTAATATTAATTTATTAATTTTAATTTATGTTTTGGTTAAAAAATCAGGTTAATATTTGTTGACACTTGATTCATGTGAAGTTAGAGAAACTTCAAATATGAAGGTAATGCAGATTTTCATTTTCAACTGTTTTTACGAAACAGTTTTTAAACGGCTTTGCCCCCAATGACACACATTTTTTATTTTTAAAATTTAATTTATTTAAATAAAAAATAAAACCTAAATTTCATGCAGATCGTGTAGATAAATGTTTCATTTATTCAAGCAAAAAGTTTTTAAGACCTAAGTACTTAAAACAATTTTTTAAATTTGAATCTTCGATCAACGAAATTTTCATCTCTTCCTTGCAAAAACTATTTTTATGTTATATTTCCTAATATATTTAATATTTTTTAGCTGTTTCTTTTCCAATCTATTGCTTTAATCGTATTAATAATAAACTGTTAACGAAAATGGTAATAGATTAGAAAGAAAGAAAATATTTCGAAAAACGCCTTTGCCCCGCATAGCGGCTTTGCCCCGCTCTCCCCTATATCAAAAACTTATATACCCCAATTGTTGATTTCAATTTGTATAATGGATTGTGTCACGCAAACCCACAATGAAATATCATTCTCTGCCCAAAAATTTTTCCGCGAAATTATTGCGTGCAAATGTCTAAAAGATTAAACCATTAACAAATTTGTTTTTCTTTGATGGAATATTAAATTGAATTTGACGTCTCTCAAATGCAATTATAGTTGTGCCATGATTTTTCAATTAAATTGTCATTTAATTAATAGAAATATAGTCATATATCAAAGGATATAATTAATTTATTTGTAATAATTTAATATCAATAATTCAATAATATTTATTATAAATGGAAAATTATTTAATCATTTCAAATAATTGTTTCTATACTTGTTTATTATTGCTTCTTTATATGGAGAAAGACAATGAATATTCTTCAATATATATTTTACAATTAATTATTAATTCAGTTTATTTTTATATACAATTTGGAAATAGAAAATATGGATTTTGAGTTTGTCAGTCAAAGAGCTATACACTCACTTAATATTTAATACTCTTTAATGTACCTATCATTTAAATAATAAAAAATAAACACTTTGTTGAATCTTATTTATAGAAAATATCAAAGTAATGTTTCACTGATTCACAGTCGCTAAATTCCTGCTATTTTGAATCAGTGCAATTTCATTGATTCAAATTTTAGAGAGTAGAGAACCTTTCAAAGAGAAAAAGGAGCTATTGTCTATAAAAATTGAATAAAAATTACGTTTTTCACATAACTTTTAAAAAGAAACAGAAAATATATTAAATAATGTAATTATAATTTGGCAATAAATTACGACTCAAAATAATTTTTTTTTTAAATTGTACATGAGCCAAAAGTTTTGAACGTTCAAATGAATTTCGGGAGCTCTAATTACTGGACTACCCATCCTTGTGATAGATTTAAACTAACTGTTTTCTTAAGCTATGAGCTGAGAGCGAATTAAATTATTTGGTTGTCGCAACCAAATTTTGGTTAGGACAACAAACGATCATTTGGTATTTTAGACCAAACTATTTTCTTGTGTTAACCAAATTATTTTGTTGTCGAAACCAAATTTTGGTTGGAATTTAAAAATGTTCAACCAAATAATTTTGTTGGCCTAACCAAATGTTTGGTTGAAATAACTCTACAACTTTGTTTCAGCCAACCAAAATTTGTCTACAAGAACCAAAATTGCCTAACCAAACAATTTTGCTGCAAATACTAAATTTTTTTTCTCAGCCCTCTTGGAATAAGATTCCCCGGAAAGTGCCCCCTGGAGGTTCTATCAGAATTTTGCCGGAACTTCCAACGTAATTCCGTCGGAATTTCATCGGAGTTCCAAAGAATTTCCGATGGAATTCTGACGGAATTCCGATTAATTTTTTCATAATGTTTAGAGTCCTAATTCCGTCGGAACTCCGTCGGAATCCCATCGGAAATTCTTTGGAATTCAGATGGAATTCCGACGAAATTACGTTGAAAGTTCCGGCGGAATTCTGATAGAACCTCCAGGGGTCACTTTCCGGGGAATCTTATTCCAAGTGGGAGTGTATATTTAAATAAAATTAATTTTTCTTTCTTGTTTTTGGGACAATAAAATTAATAATTATTATTGTTTTTATAATTAATACAGGAGAGCCATGCCATCCCTACGAACCATTCAGGTGTCCAGGGGATGGAGTTTGTATCTCGATACAATATTTATGTGACGGCGCTCCCGATTGTCAAGACGGTTACGATGAAGATTCACGTTTATGTACAGCGGGTGAGTGTGAATTTGTCATATAATATGGATATATATTTCACCATCGCATCTACTTTACATAAAGCAGCTCTATTTCAAATCCTCAATATCTTGTGTCATGAATAATTCGAAATATATTTTACAAAATTCATGTATATATGTGTCACCTTTATTTCAAACACACACACACACAGACTTTTGAAATATATACATTTTTAGGGTGATCTCTTGAGCCCTTGTGCTTATGTAATTTCATATATAAAATCTTGCAAATTCAAATCACGCACTCTTGAAACTTATTACATTACTCATCAGATTATTTTTGTAGAACAACCGAAGGTAACTTATTAAATTTGCGTGCTATGAATAGTTAATGTCAAATTTTATTACACTCTTCCGTCTTGTCACCTTGTGTGTATTAATAAAAACAAAATGTTATGATTCACTTAAATAATTTGCTCTAATAAAAAAGAAAAGAAAATTATTAAATTTTAACATAAATAATTATTTTTTTAAATTTAATTTTTTTTTACACTGAAAAAAATGTTGCCGAGAAATTCAACTACCATTGGGTAGTTGACTAGAAAGTAGTTAAAATAACTACTTTTTTATCACAGAAAAAAGGTGGGTAAAAAGTTGTAAAGATAGAGGATAAAAGTCGTTAGGATACAGGGTAAAGGATAAATTTGTGATGGATATAAATGTTACTAAAATATTACTAGAAAAATGGATGTCATATTTGAGAAAAATGTTTAATTTTAATAAAAATATTAGTAATTTTACACTTAACTTATTAAATCCACAAATTTTTTATAAATAAGTAATTGTATGTGGAAATATTTTGCCTATAATTATTGTCTATTAATAGAAATATCTTTGACTGATACAACTGACAGCTTACAACAGTGCACAGATAATCAGAACTGGGAAATTACAACTCAACGTCTGTATTGTTGCACGAAAGCAGAGTTGGGTAGTAACTGAAATTTTTGTGCATATTAGGCTGTGTCAGTTCATCGAGATATTTCGAGTTCAAGATATGACGTCAGAGGTCTGGAGGGACAACAAACAGACGACACAATGTTATTCTTACGGGGAAGAAAATTTGTTTCCACTTTCATCAATTGTATTCATACTTTAAACACGGAAAACGCTTGTTGATATATAATAAAATTAAAATGTGTGTTGATAATAATTTTGTTATATATTTGATTCATTTGCATTTATAGATTCTCTGAATTCGTGATAAAATATAAATTTTGAGGTTAGGGGTGTTTGTTTACTAACTTGAAATCTTTTACTGCTGCGGTAATTCCCACTTAAAATATATATTTTATATCGAAATATCTCGATGAACTGACACAGTCTAATATGCACAAAAAATTCAGTAACTACCCAACCCTGCTTTCGTGCAACAATACAGACGTTGAGTTGTAATTTCCCAGTTCTGATTAGTTACGCACTGTCGTCAGCTGTCAGTTGTATTAGTCAAAGATATTTTTATTAATAGTCAATAATTATAGGCAAAATATTTCCACGTGCAATTAGTTATTTATATAAAATTTGTTGATTTAATAAGTTAAGTGTAAAATTACTAATATTTTTATTAAAATTAGACAGTTTACTCAAATATGACATCCATTTTTCTAGTAATATTTTAGTAACATTTTTATCCATCACAAATTTATCCTTTCCCTGTATCCTAACGTCTTTTATCCTCTATCTTTACAACTTTTTACCCACCTTTTTTCTGTGTAGTTAATCTAATCATGTTCATGTAGTTAATGTAACTATTTTTAAGAAGTTAATAAGTAATAGTTGATTTTACGTAAATATGTAGTTAAAGTACAACTACAGGTCGGTAGTAAAATTAACTTTCTTAAGGTAGTAAAAACAAGTGGAATTGTAGTCAACTCAAAATTTCAAGAGTAGTAAATCTAACTACTATTCACCAGTTATATGACATGTAGTAAAAGGAATTATTTTCTTTAATTACACAGGAAAAAAAAGTCTTACTCCGAGCATAGTCTAATTTTTAATTTTGATTAGAAAGTAGTTGATAACTAATATCAATCACAAATAAAGGTTTAAAAATAAGCCGTTAAGGTCTTAATGAAAAACGAGTTATTAATATGACAAATATTTAGTTCTATTAGATTCAAAACAAGCCTTTGTGGTCTTGGACTCAATACAAAATTTTATTCGCTAGAAATGAGACGTTAAAAGTCTTCAATCAAGCCCATGAGGTCTAGATACTAGTGAGTTGTAACTAGACGTACAACGAAAGTGCCCGAGTGTAAAGTGTCATGGACGCCTTTCCAAAAATGTGACGCGTCTATGGTTAATCGGAACTAAATGAATTAATTCAAAAGACTCACATCTTCATTCCTGTATAAAAAATTAAAAAACTATGTTTATAAAACATTTTCATATCATGAATTGTTTGTGTCCTATAAATTCAGCTTTAATTGTTATGAGTGTGAAAATAATGTTATATATACAACATAATTTTATTACAATTTTCTCACAAATATAAAAATATATAAATTATATACAAAAATAAATTGGTCTCTTTATGTTTTATATATATAAAGTATGATTTATATCAATAAAATGTTGTTTGATGTTTCAAAACTTGTGTAAAATTTCAATAATATGGTGTTGACAGGTTTCATAAAAGTTTAGGTTATGTTAGCTAATTTTTATACCGCGCAGTGGCTTGATTTAAGCCCAGGTTCGGGCTTGTGGCTACTTTCTATTTCAAAAGGCAGCTTATTGTTAGCCCCTACAGTAGGCTTAAAGTAAGACTTATGCTACGAGCGAGTTAGAAACTATATTCGGTCTAGTTTGTGTCCCATATTGAAACTAGCTTCTTTTCGGGTTTGAAACAAAACTTATTTTTTCCCGTGTAATATAACTGCTTTTTCACGGAGAGAAGAGATTTAGTCTATTCTACTAGACACGTTTAGTCCAGATTCTACTAAACAGCGTAGTCAGAGGGACTACTATAGTTCTGACACACACAAAAATTTACCGACAGAATAAAAATGCACAAATCTGATTGGTTGTCCACAATTAACCAGATTGCGGACAACCAATCAGATTTCTATATTTCGTTTCTGTCGATAAATTTTTTTCTATCGATAATCGTGTAAATTTTTTTACTAAACAGTATCGTTCATTTAACTGAATGTTTAGTCCGTCCAAAATGAACGATACTGTTTAGTAGATTTAACTGAGATAGTAGTAAGATCTACTACGCCCTTCTCTCCGTGTTGAGTAGTCAATTTTCACAGCCACACAAAAAAAAGTACCCGGGCCGGGGAATGAGACCACCATTTCTTGATGTATTTTGATGCGCTGAACACGAATCTGAAGTCCGTTTTGCTCCATCACGTCAGGATTTTGACATAACCTCAAAAAACATAGCTGATTTTAAATGACAGGAGAAAATTTTTAAATAATGGCAGATTTGCTTGAATCTTGTTACTCGGCGGTTTTTGGGGTCGCTGATTACGAATTTAACGTCAGATTTATAAAATTCAAAATGGCGGATCCAATATGGCCGACAAATTTTTAAAAAGTAGTTGGATTTTTACAAAAATTGGTATCATGGGGTTTTTTTGGAGTCGCTGATTACGAATTTAACGTCAGATTATTCAAATGTAAAATGGCAGATATAGTACGGTGGTGCCCTGGATGCAGACACATGTAGAAACATAAAGATATTTGACCACCGTACTATATCTGCCATTTTGAATTTGAATAATCTGACGTTAAATTCGTAATCAGCGACTCCAAAAAAACCCCATGATACCAATTTTCGTAAAAATCCAACTACTTTTTAAAAATTCGTCCGCCATATTGGATCCGCCATTTTGAATTTTATAAATCTGACGTTAAATTCGTAATCAGCGACCCCAAAAACCACCGAGTAATAAGATTCAAGCAAATCTGCCATTATTTAAAAAATTTCTCCTGTCATTTAAAATCAGCTATGTTTTTTGAGGTTATGTCAAAATCCTGACGTGATGGAGCTAAACGGACTTCAGATTCGTGTTCAGCGCATCAAAATACATCAAGAAATGGTGGTCTCATTCCCCGGCCCGGGTACTTTTTTTTGTGTCGCTGTGTTTTTTATTAATTTCTATGATCTTATAGGCTTCAATAAAATTCTTGTTGTAGAATTAACAAGTCGTCTGTAATTAAAACTACTACTTTAAGTAGTAGATTTTTTACTATTATTATTAATTCGATAAACTTAAAGAAGATTTTTGATGTAGAATTTACAAATCGTTTCAATTTAAAACTACTACTTTAAGTAGTAGATTTTACTACTCAAAGTGGTACAATAGGCTTTAAGAACATTTTTGTTGTAGAATTAACAAATCCTTTGTGATTAAAACTACTACTTTAAGTAGTAATTTTTTACTATTTTAATTAATTCAATAAGCTTGAAAAACGTTTTTGATGTAAAATTTACAAATCGTTTCCAATTAAAACTACTACTTTCAGTAGTAGCTTTTACTACTTAAAGTGGTTCAATTGGCTTTAAGAACATTTATGTCGTAGAATTAAAAAATCCTTTGCAATTCAAACTGTCACTTTAAGTAGTAGATTTTACTGCACTATGCAATTAAACAACTTATAATATAATTAAAAGATGAAAAATTGAGAAGTCAAAACTTAAAAAGGATAGTTATAGCAACTAATAAAAGTAGTAAAAATGACTACTTTAAATAGTTAAATTACCAATTGGACAAGCAGAAAGTAGTCTTCGAGTAGTTTGCAGACTGTCGTAGCGAGCGTGCGTGGTTAGTCGGTTAAGGTATCGAATTGCAAGCGTTAGGGTCGAGGGTTCAATTCCCGTCGGTTAGAAATTTTCTCTGTTAGGTACATAATCGTTTCATAAAATAAGCGTCAGTATTGGAGAGAGGATGAAAAAGTCAATTCTACTGATAATAAACAATTATAAATAAAAAATAACTTTATTTTCCTATTTTAAGTAGTAAAATCTACTACTTAAAGTAGTAGTTTTAATTGCAAAAGATTTATTAATTCTACAAAAAAATGTTCTTAAAGCCTATTGAACCACTTTAACTAGTAAAATCTACTACTTACATCTTGAGTTGTTTTAACATTTTTAAATTGAGTTAATACAATCACAAAATGTCATTCTACCAATTACATTTTTAATTAGTTTAACTATTTTCATATAGTTAATAGAACCGTTTAAATTCAGTTGAGGACCTATTGTACTACTCAGAGTAGTTAAAAAGTAGTAAAACCTACTAGTTTTTTTCAGTGTATGTAAAAACTAGAGTATTTTCTTTTTTTTTGACGATAATGAAAATAATTGTTTTAACCTTTAATGTGTTTTTGTTCATTTATTAACAGTAAAAAAAAGAGAGAGAGAGAGAGTTTTAAAATCCTTTTAAATGTAAAACAGAAAATAAATGAGAAATACTTTATGTTGAATCATTAATATTGAAATTTTATGAGAGTTTTCATATTGTTAAATATAACTTGCACTTTGACCATTTTGTGGAAAGCTTTAAAAATCTTCGTAATTAAAATGTAGTAGTGCTATGTGCTTCTGGAATTTTTTAAAGAAAAATATGGTATTCTCTAAAGAATTATTATTTCTGGATTTTAGAAATATTTTCCATAAATTGGAACAAAAAATTTTGATTAAAATTATTATCATTGTTGAACAGATTTTTTTTTTTTACTTTTTTTAATATATAAATTTTTTTCTAATAAAATTAAGAAAAATGAGGTTTTCTGTTCAAAATAATATAAATAAAAAATAACAATTCTGCGAATTTTAAATATTTACACAAAATATTGTATTATTTTTGCTATTGCTTTTCTGTCGGTCTCAATAAATCTTTATATAGATTTAGATTAATATTTATATAATTTTACAAAATTACGCATAACTTGTTAAAATTTATTTATTTAAACAAATAAACATATAATATTTACTTCTTCCTTTATTTTTCAAATTTTCTTTTTTTGTTTATTGTTATTTAATCTAAAATAATTTGCAAAAATAAAATCTTGGTTAACAAAAAAAAAAAAATGTTTATATAAATATTCAAAATTCGCAAATTTTTGAAACTTGTATTTTTTTTTTTTTTATTATTGTTTTGAACAGAAAAACGTGTAGGTTGCTTGAAAAATTCTTGACCATTAAAAAAATAATTGGCGCGCACTTCACAAATTTTAACTATGAAATTAATGAAAATTGTTGTTGGAATCGTATTATATAATACCGTACATTATTTTTTTTCTCACCTTCATAAATTTTAATGAGGGTGTTAATTCTGATACCAATAAACGTGTAAATTTTGGTGATAAGGGTTGGTTTAATTAAACTTTACTTTTCAGCTAAAAGACCACCTGTAGAGGAAACAGCGAGCTTCTTACAATCTCTTATATCAAGCCACGGACCTAATTACCTTGAAAAGTTATTTGGCAGCAAAGCAAGGGATTCGCTACAACCTCTAGGTGGTGTTAACAAAGTCGCCATTGCTCTTTCTGGTGAGTCTTTCAATTTTTATTTCGATTTATTGATTTTTGTTAATTTTGTTGATTCTTTTTTAGAATGAAAACAAAAATATCTCTTGATCTCTAATTGAAATTATTAAAAAATACTGAATATAAAAATTTTTAAAAGCATTAAAAATTTGATCCTTAAATATGAACCTTTTTTTTGGTTAGCACTTTACAGTTTTAAAAATTTTACGCTTTAGTGAAATTGAAAAAAAAATTTATTATTTATAGTTTAAAGCATTGGAAGTGTGTTTATTTTTTTTCTTTTTTTCAGTAAGTACACTACCTACTTCGTTTTTATTTATTGCATATCAGTATCGTATATATATTTCTTTTATTTTATTTTTGTATTCTTTATTATCTTTATTTGACGTGAGAGAAGGTTATTTTGCCCACTGCGTGTAAATTCGCTCACCAAGTTATCTGTTTCAAATTATCTTTAAATCCCGTCTTACGGTATTTATTTATTTATTATATTATTATTATTACATTTATTTATTTTTTATTCTTTTTATTTTATATAATTTTATTTTACTATATTGGGTGTGAATTTATCAAATGGATCACCTGAAATTTTCAATAAATAAACAATGATTTAGGTAAAATATTGACTTTAAAGTTAAGGAAGTTCTCTCCCTCCAACGTCAGTCAAATCAATGCCCATTTAAGTTTTCATTTGTATCACGTAGTACTAGCTCAACGCTTGGCAACGTTGGATTATATTTCCCCCGTTCCGTTTCGTGTCGTCTGCTATTGTTTGATTTATTTTCGTTAAATAATAATAATAATAATTTATTATTTTAAAAATCTTAATTTTTTATAAGCAAATTCAAATTATTATTCATTATTATGAATCTTTGAAGAATATACTATTATATGTATATACTACTTATATTACTTTCAAATTTCGCGCTTTTTCTATACCTAACCTACAAGACGCAACGTTGCCAAGCGTTGTGCTAAGTAATTTCTGATTGTCAAAATACGGTGTTTTTTTAGACAAAATAATTAATTGTGAGTCTCCTAAGCCAGGTCTAATCAATTTTATTAAAAGTAAGTGAACATTGGCTATTAAACTTTATGTATATAAAGTTCCAGTAATATCTTTTCGTCAGATTTTTCACAATTTGAGATTTCAGACCAAAAAATTCAATTTCCCATAAGAACCCGTGTTAAATGTGAAAAGAGAAAATTATTTATATCTTTTGTCAAAATCCACCTAGACCTCTAAAAATTTAACTACATCTTCTTTAAACCATTATCTATCAGTATATCAAGTTTGATAATTAACTCTTCGTCATTTCTGTTTGCGAGAGAACTTCCTTAAAAAAAATTCGGTTTAATGCAAGAAATAGGTTTTTCTCATAATCAAAGTTAAATTTTTAGCATCAAAATTTTTTGTCAAAAAACGTTTTTTCGAATTTTTATTTTGTTCCTCATGTTGAATATCGTATATCAGTTAAAAAAATTGCTAAAAATAATTGATTTCAAGAAGTTGGAAAATTGTCAGTAATAAAAAGCTTCCTATATGAGGAAGCAAAAGTTATGGCTTTAATTGAATTATTTATATACGAGAATTTATGAAAATTAGATTTTATTTTTTTAAAAAAGATTTTATGAGAGAAAAATAAAACAAATAGAATATCCAATCATAGATCATTATTATTAAATGTATATTACGAAATACAAAATTTTTTTTTATATTCTCAAACACTACACGGAAAAAATAAGTCAGCAAAACTTTCATAAACTAGTATTTCACTTTTGGACGGGAACGAAAGTTGTTCAAAAAGTATAGACACAGTTTATTAAGAAAACAAAACTAATTATAAAAATGTGAACTGTGTATAAGAGCCGATGCTCAATGTGCTCTGATGTTTCGGAATCAGTTTATCAAACTTTCATAAACTCTCAGCTAGAACTTAAGTACGTGCACCAAAGATTTCGTAACACTTATATGCATAAAAATTCGACGACAGTCAACCAAACGCTTGTAAACTCACAAAAAATTTAGAAAAATTAAAAAAAATTTCACATTCAGGGGTATTTTTTACTTAATTTGTACATCACTTGAAACACAATTATTAATATCTTATATACGCACTATACACAATTTTATCGACATTAAAATTCGGAATTCGCTTCCGCGGGATTCGAACTTACCTAACCAAGATATATAACGCATTTTGTCTTAGCAACTAAAGGCCTAATAGCAGAATAGATTCTTGAACGGGAACGCAATCGTAAACGGAAACGTAAGAATGTGTAAGAGAAGGATAGCAAATATCTTTATTCTTCTCTCACCCATTCTTACGTTTCCGTTCACGATTGCGTTCCCGTTCAAGAATCTATTCTGCTTAGGCCTTAACCGCCGCGGCTATCGAGAGCCACGCGAACGAAGAAGTTAATTTCACTGATCAACACTGACCAAGCTACGAACTGCGCATGTTCGGAATTTTAGAAAAAGTCTACGATTTTTTCGTTGACTGCTGTCTTAACTACTCTTTTTTATGTTTCAAACTTTCGAACCTCAATTATTACAATGTTGTAAAACTTTTTATAGAAATTCGACAATCTTTAAACAATATTATTAAAAACTGTTCAATATAGATTAACAAACTGATCTTTCTATACAGTTTGTAAATAATTTCTTGACTCTGTTTCACTTTTTCGGTAAAGTTTATGCTTCATTACTAAAAAGTATATGAAACGTTTAAAAATTTGTGCCCCGTCCAAAAGTGAAATAATAGTTTACGAAAGTTTTGCTGACTTATTTTTTCCGTGTACAAAAAAGATATCTTAAAATACATTGTATATAGTTAGGGTAATGTCACCTTAAGTGGACCACCTAAGCTTTTTTTCGAAAAATTTCTTGATGAAAGCAAATTAATCGTAGTTTTCTATCCGCAAGCTTTAGTTTAGATCCCTAGAGAAGTGGATCTAAACTAAAGCTTGGATAGAAAACTACGATTAATTTGCTTTTATCAAGAAATTTTTCGAAAAAAAGCTTAGGCGGTCCTCTCAAGGTGACATATTACCCTAATTTTAAAACGATTTAAAGATCATGTAACCATCTCTGTCGTACAAAGTAAAAAAAGCTTAATTAACAATGTTTGTATTGTTGCTTATGTATATTTTTACTTCATACAGCAGATCTCACATTTTATAAATTAATGCATTTTAATATGTTTTTAATAATTTTTTTCGAAACATCTGAAAAGTGACCATTATATCTATTTTTTAATAAGATACTTACTTTCTGAACTCAAAAAGCCACAGATTTATTATAAAGGAAAAATAAATGACACTACACATTCACTTGCTCATGAGTAAATCGCAGCAGATTTCTCTCCGTGTATGATTTCAATACATTATTGTCAACATTAAAATCGTCTGATGCTATACTACTATCGTCGGATTGTTGACATAAAATTGTTCTTTAATTAGATGTGTTATTTTAACCATTATCTGCTCTATTGGGGTATCGTCGTCCTGATATTCTATCAGTTCTAAAGCATCTTCATCTACATCTACATCTTGATCTTCATCTTGATCTTCATCTTGATCTTCATCTTGATCTTCATCTTGATCTTGATCTTGATCTTGATCTTTATCTTCATCTTCATCTTCATCTTCATCACTTATCAGCTTCATGCTATATTTCTTTAATTTAATAACTTGAGGAAGTAAGTACTTTGGTTTTAAACCATTATTTCTGCCCTTATTTAATATAAGATTTGAGTCCAACAATACGGCCTGGTTTTTAATTATCACTTTGTGAATAATTAATTTACCAACATCAGAATAATTATTAAATACACAATTTTTCAATGCTTCATTTTTAGTGAAATAAAGTTTAAAGGTTTCTTTATAACGTAATGCATTACCACGTACAACATATAATAAACTTAGGAAATCAATAATAGATGTATACTCAGCACGATAAAAGATCGTTTCATGATTGATAAATTCCTCATCACATTGCCTTAGAACCTGTGCATATCTTGCAGCATTATATACACGTATATAATTATAATCTACTCTTTTTTCATAAAAAACTTTATTGATGATAAAGTATTCCCAAAAATTGATGATGTGCTTAATTTTAGGTTCATTTAAATATTTTTTAAACTCATGTTCCATTACCCTAAAATCAGTAGACATAAAAAAAAAATGTATTATCATAAAAATTTCATCATTCACATAATTAACAGGATATAATTTATTTTTTTTGTTAAATAGCACATCATCAATGATAATGGTACTTCTAGTTATATAATAAGGCAGATATATTGAAAAATAAGAATAATGTCCTAGTTGATAATCCCTTGCCAACATATAATAAGAAGGAACTGAATTAAAAACACCGTCATCGATTTTTAAAATGAATTTTTTAAATTTTTTTTTCGTCTTATCTAATCTGTGACAAGGAGTATTTAAGGATATAAAGTATGCAGCATTCTCAATAATTTCCATTCTTCTACACTTCTCTTTGTTGTTAAGTGACATATATTTATCCTTTCTAATCAATTCCCAATTGTCTGTAGTAGTAGGCTTTTCCTCCAGTTCCACTTGTAGAATTTTATCAAAAGATATGACATCTGTTATAAGGAAATCAACTTCTGGAAATACAATGTATTGGTTTTTAAACCTATCATTAAATGCAGCTAAATTGACAAGTCCATGTTGGGAATTAAATTTCATATGATAAAGAACCTCTGTTTCACCTGAAGAATTTTTTGGTTTTTTCCTATAAATATTTCCATAATCGAAATTAATATCTGTCAATAGAGTAATATCATTAAAATAAAACACATCGTTTTCTCTTTTCAAATTCTTTAAATTTTCAATAAACCATTTTTCATATATTGTTTGTGTAAAATACATATCTATTTGTTTTTCATTATCAGATTCCTGTTTTTCTAATTCTGTGATTTGACAATTATTAATTATCTCGACACTTCTTCGAACTCTGTTCAATAAAACTTTATCTTTCCTTATACCAGATATGCCTTTTTCACAAAATTGTTTTAGTGCCATTGTCCAGCTATTGTATAAAGTTTCATCCAAAGAACAGGGAATGTTCAATTTTCTTGCCATTTGAGAATTTACAGCAATATTTTTTTCTTGGAATATTGGTGAAATATATTTCTTGTACATATTTTTAGTTACAAAAAAATTCAATTCGACATTTACTCCCAAAAGACAGTGGGTATTATCAATGTAATTTAATGGAAAACGTTGATTATTGTTACTTGAACTCTCATCAAATTTGAACATTTCATTCTTTTCTCGATTAAATATTTCAATTGTCAAAGATTTAACTTGTATATTTCGAATATTGATTACAAATGTCTTAATGATGTATTGATATCTTTCATCCACGTTTTTCATATCAGGTATTTCATGATTTTCAACCTTAGAAGGTCGACTTTCTTTCAGCATTTTTTGCAAAAAGTGAGTTTTCATTTCAAATTCATTGTCGAAATTATTCAAATATTCAAAAAAAGTAAACACTTTAGGGTATTTTATAATATCTTCTGTTAGTGGAATTAAGTAACTGTGATAAAAGGTGATACCCAAAAAAGCACAAACAGGTAAAAGCTGTAAATTTGATGAATGATGAGCAGATATTGTTGTGTTATTCATTGTATGTTGTTATACTTGATATTTCTTTTGATTTATTAGCTTCTCTTTTAGTTTGATTTATATAACTCTGAACTTTAAATGACTCCAGAACTGAAATAGTCATATGTACATATTTTGTTTAATTTGCTTTTAATGTAACAAGAATAATTTTTAAATCATTAACAAATATATCTTGAACAATTTTACGAATTCCTATATATAACCCAAGCAAAAATTTCTGTCAAACGCCGATATTGACAACAGGCGCAATCATGCACCAATACTATGGCTGGCCGACAGTTGGCTTACCAGTATTGGTTCAGTACTGATATGGATTAAATTCTGTACTGTGTCAATACTGCAAGCCAATACCGGCATGCCAGTATTTTCCAATACTCTGCCAGTATTATTGAGACAGTAATGGCAAACCAGTACTCGGTCAGTATTAATTCAATACCGAATGCCAGTATCCAGAAAAATTATCAAAATTAGCCTCCATGAAGTTGGCGTTGACGCTCAGCGCCAAAAATTATTTTCCACAGGACCAAAAATGTCAAATTATTATTTTTTTTTTTTTAAAGATTTTCGGTCCAAATATGTAATGCCTTAAGAAATACTTTTTAAGGTATTATGTAAACCCAAAACTTTTTTAAAAATGATTTCTTATTTTTGGTCCCGTGAAAAATAATTTTCGACGTTGAGCGTCGACGCTAACTTCACAGACGTGAAAATTGTGTATTTTTGTTGGTTAGAAATTAAATTTACATACATATTTTTTTAAAATTATTTTAATACTTCTTTTCGATTACTGCAATGCGTTCGTTAACGGAATTATGAAATTTAAATTTAATATTAAAACTTTTTAATAAAAAAAATACATAATTAATGAAGTTGTCAAATTATTTTTCTTACACTGAAAAAAATATATTTTAATCAAATAAACTCTATTTTAACCAATAATTTCATTCAATTACGGGAATTTATAAACAAATACAAATAAATATATATATTTTATAATATTTGAAGAAATTATTTGAATAATAAAATGAAGAGTAAAATGTTAATATAAAAAAAAATAACAATTTAAAAGTTATTATAACAATTTCTTATTATTAATAGTTAATAATATGAGTCGGTTCTTCGATCCAGCTGCTCAATTAATGTAAAAAGCAAAAACAACCCTGAATTTTGAATATCTACCATTGCTGGCTTATTACTGGTTACTATAATTTTGCCCGTACTGTCAAAGTACAGAATTACTGCTAAATTCCAGTATTGAACCAGTATTAAACGCCAATACTAAGCCATTACTAATGACCAGTACTAATAAACGTTATCATTCCAAACATATAGGTCCGAGAAGTTGGCAACGCCATTTCATTTTTTCAAAAAATCAATTTTTGTGCTAAATTGTGCTAATTTGTGCTGCAAAAATTTTTTTGAAAAAATTAAAAATAGGGATCAAAAATTTAAAAAAACAGTTTTTGGCAAAAAATTTATGATTCACTTTTATTCCAAACAAATCATTTGTCAAGTTTTTATTAACAACAATACAATCTACCAAAAAAATTAAAAAATTTTTTTTTTTTAAATACAATTTAATATTCAAAATTAAAATTTTTAACCATAAAACGGAAAAAAAATCAATATTTACGAAAATAAATTTTTCTGCTATATTCTGCAAGACAAGCACAAAAATAATCTCAAAAAACATTTTTGAAAAACTGTGTTTAATTAAAAGAAATTGCAATTTTATTACTCAAAATTAAGATTTTTAAACCTAAAATGGGCAAATATCAAAATTTTGGAAAATCAATTTTTGTGCTATATTCTGCACGACTAGCACAAAAATAATCTATAATTATAAAAAATAATCTATATCTATAAATATAATCTATAAAATTTTTAACTCTAAAGGGCAAATATCAAAACTTTTTAAAATCAATTTTTGTGCACAAAAATAACCTATAAAAATATTTAAGAAAAACTGTATAATTAAACGAAATTACAATTTTTTTAAAATATTTTTAGAGATTATTTTTGTGCTAGTATTGTAGAATACACAACAGAAATTAATTTTCCAAAATTTTGATAATTGCCCGTTTTAGGGTTAAAAATCTTAATTTTGAGTAATAAAATTGCAATTTCTTTTAATTAAACACAGTTTTTCAAAAATGTTTTTTGAGATTATTTTTGTGCTAGTATTGTAAAATACAGCACAGAAATTGTTTTTTAAAAATTTTGATATTTGCCCATTTTAGGGTTAATAATGTAAATTTTGAGTAATAAAATTGCAATTTCTTTTAATTTAACTCAGTTTTTTAAAAATATTTTTTGAGATTATTTTTGTGCTAGTCGTGCAGAATATAGCACAAAAATTGATTTTCCAAAATTTTGATATTTGTCCATTTTAGGGTTAAAAATCTTAATTTTGAGTAATAAAATTGCAATTTCTTTTAATTAAATACAGTTTTTCAAAAATGTTTTTTGAGATTATTTTTGTGCTTGTCTTGCAGAATATAGCAGGAAAATTTATTTTCGTAAATATTGATATTTTTTCCGTTTTATGGTTAAAAATTTTAATTTTGAATATTAAATTTTTGTATTTAAAAAAAAAAAATATTTTTTAAATTTTTTTGGTAGATTGTATTGTTGTTACATTATAACTTGACAAATGATTTGTTTGGAATAAAAGTGAATCATAAATTTTTTGCCAAAAACTGTTTTTTTAAATTTTTGACCCCTATTTTTAATTTTTTCAAAAAAATTTTTGCAGCACAAATTAGCACAAAATTAGCACAATTTAGCACAAAAATTGATTTTTTGAAAAAATGAAATGGCGTTGCCAACTTCTCGGACGTCAAACAGTATTGGTTCAATATTGGCAGTCAGTACTTTGCCAGTAATTGCTCTCTAAATTTGAAGCAGTGAAAAAGTCACTGGTCTCAAATCAGTCGCTAAATTCTAGCTATTTGAATCAGTAACATTTCACTGATTTTCAGTGAAAGTAATTGATTCTCCAGTGAAATTTCACTAACTGTCAGTGAAAATCACTGATTCAAATAGCTAGAATTTAGCGACTGATTTGAGACCAGTGACTTTTTCACTGATTCATATTTAGAGAGTGACAACACTGTGCCGGTTGTAAATTTTTGCTTGGGAAGTTATTGTTATAAATATAAATGTTTGTCAATATCAGTTTTAACCTTCGCTTGACAAGATGCCCACCCAGGGTGGGCCAGACAAATTGAAATTGCCATATCTTCTAAAGTTTTGCCTTAATTGAATCGCGATTTTAAGTCACTGAACAAAATCTTAAGAACTTTCAAAAAATGTAAAAACAAATTTTGAAAAAAAATTTCTTCTTGATTATTTATAACTTTTATCAATGTATGTACGGAGATAACCGGGATGATTCAGATATTTTTTTAATTCTATTTTACAAAAAGACTTGAAATCATGCAGACTTTTCACTGTGAGTGTTTTATGATGTCAAATAATAGATATAAAAAATATTATATTGCATTTTTCATTTGTTTAAACAATTTATTGTTATTATTTATTAACTTTCTTTGTTCTGCACCTAGAAAGATGCAGTTTTTTTTCTAATTTTGCAATTTATCAAGCGGAATATAATAAAAGATAGATTTGATGTAAAATTATTAATTCGACAATTGTTTAAACAATTATTGTTATTATTTACTAACTTTTTTTGTTCTGCACCCAGAAAGATGCAGTTTTTTTCTAATTTTGCAATTTATCAAGCCGAATATAATAAAAGATAGATTTGATGTAAAATTATTAATTCAACAATTGTTTAAACAATTTATTGTTGTTATTTACTAACTTTTTTTGTACGGCACCTGGAAAGTTGCCGTTTTTTTCTAATTTTGCAACTCATCAAGCCGAATATAATAAAAGATAGATTTGATGTAAAATTGTAAATTCAACAATTGTTTAAACAATTGTTAAATTAGTAAATTTATGTCAAATCTGTCTGGCTATATTATATTCGGTTTGATAAATTGCAAAATTAGGAAAAAACTGCATCTTTCTAGGTACACTACAAGAAAGTTAATAAATAACAACAATAAATTGTTTAAACAATCGTTTGAATACTAAATTCATATAAAATCTTCATGTTTATTATGTTGAGCTTGTTAAGTTGCAAAATTAGAAAAAAATTGCAACTTTCTTGGAACATTATAAAGAAAGTTAATAAATAGCAACAATTATTTGTTTAAACAATTGGTTAAATAGTAAATTCATATAAAATCTTCGTGTTATTATGTTGTGCTTGTTAAGTTGCAAAATTAGAAAAAAATTGCAATTTTCTAGGAATATTATGAAGAATGTTAATAAATAGCAACAATTATTTGTTTAAACAATTTATAATAATAGTTGTTGCAAATTGAATTATATATTTTATTTTATTTAAAACCTTTGAATTAATAACTACGAAGAAAAGGTAACAAATTTATAAAATTCTTCTACTGTCGTATGTATATTTGAAAAAGTTATAAATTATTAATAATAAATTGTTTAAACAAATAAAAAATCAACAAAACATTAATAAAATATATTATTTGGTAACATATAACAATTTTGGAAAAAAACTGAATGATTCTAAGTTTTTATTGCAATATACAAAGAAGAAAACATTTGGCCCACCCTGGGTGGGATCTTGTCAACCGTGTATATAAAAAGTATCCAGTCCGGCGAAGGTTAACCTATCAGGCGAAATAACTTTTAATAACTTGATTTTACAAAAAAGTATTTCCGACAAAAGTTGTTGCCGACAAAGGGGGACATCCACCGAACTTGAATTTGTTCTAAATGACCTAAATTAGGTCATTTCAAGGTCAACTCATTTTTTTTTATATGGGACCATCTACTTTTCATGCCGGAAATCGAAAGAGCAGAAAATTCCACTTCGAAATAGTTAAAGCAATTTTTTTAGATAGGTCGACCTATTTAGGTCAAATAGGCCATATAATTTTTATTGTTTCAGGGGAAATGCCTTTTGATTAGTTAATTTTACAAAAAAAATTTTCAGATGAAATTTGTTCTCCTCAAAGGGAAACAACCAGTGGTGATCTTGGATTTGTCCTATATGACCTTGATCAGGTCATTCGAAGATAAAATCATTTTTGTAATGGAAAACATCTACTTTTTATGCTGAGAATTGATAGAGCTAGAAATTTCACGTTGAAAACCATCAGGTTATTTTTTCGGTGGTTCGACCAATCTAGGTCAAATAGGTCAAATTTAATTTTCGTCTACTAGCTACAACACCACTGGATGTTCCCCTTTGATGACAAACAACATTTGTCGGAAACCTTTTTTTTTCTTTTTGTAAAATCAAGTTATTAAAAGTTAATAATAAGTGATATCTGGGGTAGTTAAAATGGTTACAAATAAACAAAATTATTTTAGGTAGACTTCGACTAAGAAAGATTAAATTTTACCTTCTCTTGTTTAGTTTTTTTGCGAAGAACAAATAACTATATACGTTCGGTGGAGTGACTATTATAGAACTGAAAATTACTATACTACTAAAGTTTAAAAATGTTTCAATGTATCACAAAATTTTTAATGATTGTTTTATGTTGGGAGTTGTTAAATGATAACTTTTTTTTTTTACTGTCACACATAAACCAATATTATATCAATGACTTTTTTAAACAAAAAGTTGAGGTAAAAGTAATATTGAACAAAAATAAATAAAATAAAAAAAGTTAGAACATAATTAATTTATTCATATGTTTATACAAATATAAATTTTAATTAACAAAAGAAAACTAAATAATGAATAAAAACACAAAAAAAACATTTTACCTGAAATTAATAATATATTCTTGGAGCATATTTAAGGGAGTCACCACCTTTATTTTGAATCTTTTAAATTTTAATGACCGTAGGAAGTTATATTTTTTTTGTTATAAACAATTGAAATATTCAACTGTCTTAAATATGTAAAAAAAACGTTTTTTCTCGTCCGGGAACATAGTATTTAAAAAATAATTTTTGTTTAAAAAAATTTTTTTTTAAAAATAATTGTTTAAATTGTTTAGTTTTAAAATGTTAATAAAAAAATGTGTTCTTCATGTCTTATGTAAAATTTAAAAATTGTTTTGTATTCCGCATTTATTTCTGATCTAAAACAGTTGTGAAAAAAATTACACATACAGTGAAACCTCGATTATCCAAACCCCTGTTATCCGTACCTTCTGTTATCCGAACCGTAAAACATTTTATCCGAACTTCTGTTATCCGAACTTTTTTTTGTCTTTTCATTTTATTAATGTATTTATATCTTAATTATTATTAAAAAAAATATATATATATGAGAGATTCTTTTTCAATCGCCCCAGCCCAAAAAGTCAATGTTCTGGGATTGGCTTCATACTTTGGTAAATTGCACAGAAAAAACTTGGACTCATTTTTGTTGCAACTCATTTTCTTTTGGGTATCGAAATGAGTATGGGACAAACTTCATGTTATTCAAAATGATATTGGCTGGAATTTCAGATTTCTAAGTTGGCATCATAAGCAGAGTAATTTTGTATTTCAATTATTGTTTCTAATATTTCAACAACACCAGAAAGATTATTTTGACCAGTACGAATATTTAGAAGTTTTTAAATAAAAATTATTTATTATTATTTACGTAGATAATAATTAATTTCATAAGTTTTTAAATTTACCGCTATTATTTAAGTTGGCAGTACCGTTCCTGTTGTCAAAACACATGTTTTCATTTTTCTAACCTAAAAACATATTTCCTTTATTATTTTATTACGCGATTACAAGCAATTTTTAATCAAATATATTAAGTCTAGCGTGTTATTTACTTCTTTGTAATTATTATATTTCATGTTTTTGTGCAAAATTATTCGTTATTTCACAATATTTTTCCATTTTTCTTTTTCTCAAAATGAAACTTGCCTGTTTCATTTTGATACTTTTACCTTAGAACTCGAAATGAAACAACCAGTTTCATTTTTGTTGCGAATCAAATTGAGTATAGAATCTATACTCAATTTGAATTCAGGTTTTTTCTGTGTGTTGTCCTATATGATAGTAATAAATCCCTAAAATATAAATTAATTAAAAAAATATTTGTAGAAAGTAGAGGGGGTTGAAGTTTTGACGTTAAGGGTAACATTGTCATTTTCAAATCCGTATAACTATGACAAAAGTTAATGGATTTTAATTTATCTATAATGAATTTTATTGCATTTTTCACGTACTTTTCAAAAATGTATACAAAATTTAAAAAAAAAAATTTTTAACCTCTTTTTTGTCAAAATCAACCCTTATTTTTCGATTTTCACCCCTTCGGGAATTTTTTTTTGTTTTTTTTTTATTTTCATTGGAAAGCTGAGGTTTTTTCCCATGAGCTATGTAAATATGAAAATGGGACAACAATAATTTTGTGAGAAACATAATATTAAATTAGGCGGTGCCTATCTAAATCCTCAAAGATGATCTCCAGGTACACCCCTTATCGGCACCGCCTATTTTAATATTCTGTTACTCACAAAATTATTGTTGTCCCATTTTCATATTTACATAGCTCATCGGAAAAAACCTCAGCTTTCCAATGAAAATAAAAAAAAAATACCCGAAGGGGTGAAAATCGAAAAATAAGGGTTGATTTTGACAAAAAAGGGGTTAAAAATTTTTTTTTTTAAATTTCATATACATTTTTGAAAAGTACGTGAAAAATGCAATAAAATTCATTATAGATAAATTAAAATCCATTAACTTTTGTCATAGTTAAACGGATTTGAAAATGACAATGTTACCCTTAACGTCAAAACTTCAACCCCCTCTACTTTCTACAAATATTTTTTTAATGAGTTTATATTTTAGGGATTTATTACTATCATATAGGACAACAATTTACCAAAGTATGAAGCCAATCCCAGAACATTGACTTTTTGGGCTGGGGCGATTGAAAAAGAATCTCTCATATATATATATATATTTAATACAAATATTTATTTGTAACAAATAATTATTATTTAAATCAATTTGTATTTGTTTCAAATACAGAAATTATTGGTTCAAAAATACAAATTTATTTAATTCAAATAAAAATTATTTAGTTGAAGTAAATCATTATTATTATTATTATTATTATAGTTTAACTGTGACATTGTTTTACTTTAATTATATATAAAAACATTTGAAATTTATATTATCCGAATTTTCGTTTATCCGAACCCGGTCCTGTCTAAGTTAGTTCGGATAATCGAGGTTGCACTGTAGTTAGGAAAAAAGTTATTTAATAATAATTATTTGTTTAAATAATAATTTAATAATAATAATAACTATTATTTATTATAAATTATTATATTTTACACAATTTTTTCAATTATTTAAATAACATTAAATAAATGAATGTTAAAATAAAAATTATTTTTAAATAGGGTCAGCCGGGGTAAATCTGAACGCTAATTATTTCAGCTTAATTAAAATTTTAAAAAATAAATTAGACATGAGAATTTTTACCTCAGATCCTCTTGAAGAGATTCTAAGTATTATCCCATTTTTCGTTTGTTAATTAGCAACAGCATAAACAAAGATAACAAGTATTGCAAAAAAGATTGAAAATCAAAGATGACACTCTTTCAGTATTTTGTCTCGTATTTGAAGAAAAAGAAGCTAAAAATTCATTTTATTATTTATAATTGTTTGTTATTATTGAAACGTTAAGCGAAAGGTAAAAGAAAAGGGCTAATATGTAATTAGCATTCAAATGATCCTTTATTAATAAATGGTGATGTTAACTGTTCGAGTATCTTCGAACTACTGAATTACAAATGTAAAAAGAAATAGAGGGCAGCATTGAGTATACAGGGGTGTAGCTTGAAATAAAATATAAGTACATTTCCAATAGTTATGAATACTAGAACAGAAACTATATTTGATTTTTGCCTTCTGTAAAATTTTATTAATAATATCAGACCGTTCGTATTTACCCAAGAAAATTGGAAAACTGGGGTAAATCCGAACGGTATTTTTAATAATTTTTTTTTACATCAAAGCCACACAAAATTGTTTTTATTTGATTACACTATTATTTTAACATTATAAAAGTACATAGAAAAAAGTTTTTCTTTCTATACGTATCCTCGTTAGTAATTAATAAGCAAAAACTTAATCTCTGTTCTCTCGAAGGAGTGTTTCAATTTTTTTGCCAAATGGTTTGTTGAAAAAAGTTTTTCAGGATCTTAATAAAATTTGGTTTTTCAAAATTCAAAATGGCGGACGAGAATTAAAAAATTCATTGGATTCGCTCGAAAATTGTTACTCGGGGGGTTTCAGGGTTAGCAAATTTGATCATTTTTAAAAATAAGTTTTAGGAAAGTCCGCCATTTTGAATTTAAAAAATTTGACTTTTATTTTTGTATTTACATTCAATCACTCCAAAATACTTTCTGTACCAAGTTTTGCAAAAATCCGTTATGATTTGATAAAGTTATTGAAGGTTTTAATTGTGTAAAATGCATTTTAATTTTTAACCTGTTTGATTTTTGTATTTATCCCGGACAGCACCGAAACTTCCCTGAACCTTGACTGAACCTCGCTTGACGAGGTTCGGGAACTTGAGTCGCGAGGTCCAAACGAGGTTGAATTAATTGTTACGAGCCGAGTTACCTTTTATTACGCAACTCTAAAAATGTAATATGATTGGCCGGATTCTCTTTAGTTAAATCCTTTAAGAAGGAAGCGGGAAGGTTTAAATAAAAGATTATTAATTTCCGATACAACGGAAGGGAAACCCGTTCAAGGAAGAATAATTATTAGTTCTTCCTTCGAAGGTAAAACCCTGTAAATTTATTAATATAATATTTACAAAGCTGACTAAGGAGTTTAGAAAACAACCTTTCAAGTCAGAGTCAAGATTAGAACTAACTTAGAGAGTTTTTGGTCCAGCGGAGTCGCTCTCCGCTTTTGGTCCATTTTGAGTTTGTGCGCATGCTTCACTATGGAGCGTATTCGCTACTCCTATACGTGTATCACTTCACTAACACTTATCACATAGTTCTTAAGTGTTACTTATACGTTCACACATACATAAGAGAGATTATACTTATTCTCTCCCATCATACAACATACTATTTATTAAAATATAATAAACATTAATCATCACAACATTATATGGTTAATCCATAATTATATTATTATAATATAATTATAACAATATTAAATTATAATATTCTGATAGTCAATTATTAATTAATTAACAATATTAATAACGCTTACATACAAATGTGTAAATATACTAAAACATGTGCATAAACAATTATTTAATTATTTATTGCTTTCTAATACAAAGCATTTCCGTTGTAGACTTTCGTTTATTGTTTAGCCCGTACGCGACTTTTCTATTGAAGGTAATAAAAGTCCGTGTCTGGTCAACATGTGTTTAGTGTCCCTTTTTTTTATGGAAAGGATCACATTTTTTCAAGTGGTTTTTATGACGTTCTAGGATTACATTTTAGAATTGAAATAAGAGGAAATATGTGAATATATTTTCTCTTATTTATTTGTACTGATTTACGACATTTCTCTTTTAATCTTTTATGTTGCTAAAAGAAATACGATATTGAAATAAACTTAAAAGTTCAACAGAAATACTTTAGAATTAGTCATGCTATTTCCTTTATGTGAAAACTCTATTTTATTTATTATGAGAAAATGTTAAGAGTATTATAAAATGTTTTATAATGACACTTATTTTAGGTTATTTAAATCGTAACTTTAATCATATCGTATCGTTCATTCGATACCTCGAAATGATTCGAGCGAGAATATAGTCGCTCGTTACACTTTCCCCCTTACGGAAATTTTCGCTAGAAAATTGAAAAATAAGAATAGTACAGATTGTCAAAATTTATTGATTAATTACAAAAAAATTTTATTGTAAGAAAAGTAGAATTAATGAAACAATAGTTATACAATTTTCTGAGCAAGGTATAGTTGATCAGCTATCACTCTCCCCCCTAAGAGAATGAAAAATTATATTTCAATTCATTAATTACACTCAACAATAATTTGACACTATGTATTGTTTAAAAATCTTTACTTTGTTTTAGAAATATTTCCAAATTCAAGATAACTATTATTTTCCTCGTCAAAAATAATATTATCATAATTTATTTGTTAATTTAATATTGTTAGAAATATTTCCAAATTCAAGATAACTATTATTTTCCTCGTCAAAAATAATATTATCATAATTTATTTGTTAATTTAATATGGAAAGAAATATTTCCAAATTCAAGATAACTATTATTTTCCTCGTCAAAAATAATATTATCATAATTTATTTGTTAATTTAATATGGAAAGAAATATTTCCAAATTCAAGATAACTATTATTTTCCTCGTCAAAAATAATATTATCATAATTTATTTGTTAATTTAATATGGAAAGAAATATTTCCAAATTCAAGATAACTATTATTTTCCTCGTTAAAATAATATTATCATAATTTGTTTGTTAATTTCATATGGAATCTCACCACTACAAGGATCTCAATATCCAGCATGGTTGAAATTGGTGCACAAACCATTCGGTTCTATTTACAATTTCGTGGCTGCAGTCCACCTTACGATCTCATATTAATAATCATATCGCAATTTACGATTTCGCAGATTATCAATCTCACATCGCAAGTAATTTGATTATCCTCGATAATCTCCATGCTTGTGGTCTGGAAATGTCCATTACAAATGACTTTGTTTAATTTTTTCTGATTCGCTATCACCGTTACCCCAGTGAATGTCTAGAAAAACTGCCTCAATTAAGTAAACTCTTTCAAAATCGTCCAAGGAATTTTGTGGATGAACAGGTGTACAGTTCACCTTGTTCAGAGGTTTAGGATAAATATCGTCATTTTAATGTTATGTAATTAGTGATACCTCGCAGAATTTCTCACACATTTCACAAGGATCACACTACAACGAATCAGCACAAAAATTAATTTAATTTACTCTATTTCGTGATTATATTTACTCAAACGATGACGCCATCGGAGTAACCTTTAATTTTGATTTTTCGTTTTATATAATTTGAGAATTTGAAATCGCGCATACGGATCTTGATTCTAAACTTTTTAATATTCTTACAAAGCAATTTTCAGTAGAGTGACCTCTCTGTTTACAAAAATCGCATTCCGGTTTAGGATCGTTACTTTTCGATGAATTTCCGTTACCGTTTTTCTCGTTATTATCATCTTCATCATTGTTTTCTGATTGATCATTGTCGGATGATTCTGGTTCCGCGCGATCTGGGCAATTCCGCGAATTATGTCCAATTTTCCCGCAAGTAAAACAATATTTGTTTTTACGATTATTATCAATTTTATTAACCGTTTTCGATTTTTTTGCTTCGCGATTAGAATTATTTATTTCTATTTCGTTTGAAGGAGCGCTACGTTTACGTACATTGGAAACATATTTTTCTTGTTCTAATGCAATCGTTATTGCTTCTTGAAGATTAATCGGAAGACGTAGGTTAACGCGAAATTCAATATTAGGAAGAAGTCCTTGAGTAAAATATTTTGTTATTAGTTTATCATTTTCAGTTAATTTTAATTGTAAATATTGATGTGAAATATCTTTTCGCGAAAGCTGAGACAGCTTAAAAAGTAATTTACGTGCTTTTGCCGCGTAGTCGATTACCGATTCGTTATCACCTTGTTGCAAATTGGTGATTTCACCTAAAATCGTTCCATAATCATCTGAAAAAGAAAATGATTTTTCTAGTTCTACTAAAAGTTCTCCAAGTGTATCAACTTGAGAGTGTAAAATAAACTCTGCAGCCTTGCCCGTAATTTTCTTTAATACGAATTTTAAAAGAAAAGGTTGCATTTGAGAACTTGTATTTTCTACCAAATACGAACATTCTTGAATAAATTTTTGAACCGGAATATTTTCTCCATCAAATTCTGGTATCAATTCAACAAAATTTTTCAAGGATGAAATATTATTATTAATAAATTGACCCGACCTTTCTGAATTTATTTCCGCAATAGAAGGAGGGTGCGATTTTGACGTTGATGATTCCGAAGGATTTAAATTTCTTTTATTTTGTAAATGCTGACCTACTATATCAGCTATTTGCAAAAGATCATTTGGATTAATGCGATTCATTAATCCTTGAGATTGTTGGTAATCATAGGTATTCAAATGGTTTTCATAATTTACAATATCATCGTATTGTAATTCATCATTCATTTCATCATTCGCATATTCTTCCTCCATATCTTCCATATGGGGATGAAGATTATTTCCTTGTTGACTTTCAGACATTTTAATTTATTAAAATAAAGCAAAACAATTCCAATAATTAATTTCAAAACTATTCAAAATAATTAATTATTCCAATTAATTTATTCAAAACATTCGCAAATTTCAATATTAGAATAATATTTAAATTTAATCTTAAATGAAATAAATTAATCATCAAGGAAAAATCTTTTACAATTTAGCAGTCATTCATATAGCTAATATCTAAACAAACCTTTTGTAGATATTCTATTTCACTACACTGAATTTAAATAAGATTTCAATAAAATTTTCGGAAATGACCCTTTATTCCTCTATGAGGATTCACTACCGCACAACACAACACTATTAGCAGTTGAACAGCAGGTTACAGCTTTCAGGAACACAGGATCTCAGGAACTTATACTGCTCTTCAGGAAATCAGCAACATTTATTTATTCAGGAACTTATACTGCTCGCCAGGAAATCAGGAACATTTATTTATTCAGGAACTTATACTGCTCGCCAGGAAATCAGGAACATTTATTTATTCAGGAACTTCAGGAACTCAAAAGATTATATTTTCTTTTCCACTTTTAGTTTATTATTCACTTTGAATAAAAGTTTTTATTCAAATAAAATTTATAATTTTATGTTATAAAACTGTCACTTTGAATTTTTTGTTTTCAAATAATGTTTGTAGTTTTAGGTCATAAAACTGTCACTTATTCAAATTCCCGCACTAAAGGCCGGTAACGAGCCCCCAATTTATGTTACGAGCCGAGTTACCTTTTATTACGCAACTCTAAAAATGTAATATGATTGGCCGGATTCTCTTTAGTTAAATCCTTTAAGAAGGAAGCGGGAAGGTTTAAATAAAAGATTATTAATTTCCGATACAACGGAAGGGAAACCCGTTCAAGGAAGAATAATTATTAGTTCTTCCTTCGAAGGTAAAACCCTGTAAATTTATTAATATAATATTTACAAAGCTGACTAAGGAGTTTAGAAAACAACCTTTCAAGTCAGAGTCAAGATTAGAACTAACTTAGAGAGTTTTTGGTCCAGCGGAGTCGCTCTCCGCTTTTGGTCCATTTTGAGTTTGTGCGCATGCTTCACTATGGAGCGTATTCGCTACTCCTATACGTGTATCACTTCACTAACACTTATCACATAGTTCTTAAGTGTTACTTATACGTTCACACATACATAAGAGAGATTATACTTATTCTCTCCCATCATACAACATACTATTTATTAAAATATAATAAACATTAATCATCACAACATTATATGGTTAATCCATAATTATATTATTATAATATAATTATAACAATATTAAATTATAATATTCTGATAGTCAATTATTAATTAATTAACAATATTAATAACGCTTACATACAAATGTGTAAATATACTAAAACATGTGCATAAACAATTATTTAATTATTTATTGCTTTCTAATACAAAGCATTTCCGTTGTAGACTTTCGTTTATTGTTTAGCCCGTACGCGACTTTTCTATTGAAGGTAATAAAAGTCCGTGTCTGGTCAACATGTGTTTAGTGTCCCTTTTTTTTTTATGGAAAGGATCACATTTTTTCAAGTGGTTTTTATGACGTTCTAGGATTACATTTTAGAATTGAAATAAGAGGAAATATGTGAATATATTTTCTCTTATTTATTTGTACTGATTTACGACATTTCTCTTTTAATCTTTTATGTTGCTAAAAGAAATACGATATTGAAATAAACTTAAAAGTTCAACAGAAATACTTTAGAATTAGTCATGCTATTTCCTTTATGTGAAAACTCTATTTTATTTATTATGAGAAAATGTTAAGAGTATTATAAAATGTTTTATAATGACACTTATTTTAGGTTATTTAAATCGTAACTTTAATCATATCGTATCGTTCATTCGATACCTCGAAATGATTCGAGCGAGAATATAGTCGCTCGTTACATAATGTTTAAATGTCCGCGCATAATAAAGGTCAGTCACAGAGGTTGGCTGAATATTGGATTTGAATTTCTGTTAAATATTAAAATTAAAGATTCTTGGCATATTGTGAGGGGATATTTAAGGAAATTAAAAATTAAAAATTTGTTAAATGTAATCGTTAAATATTCTGGAAATTTAGAAGGAGCATAAATATAAAAATAAAATATTTTTTAGCAAAAAATTATATAATTTTTTATTTTAAAAAATTATTTCTTTAAAAATCGTTTATAGAGAATAGATAGAATAGAAAGATAGAGATAGAGATATAGATAGAAAGATTTGTAAATAAAAAGTACAAAAGCCAACAATACCAATCAAGAGAAATAAAATGTGAACGTCCAAATGAAAAGGTACCACTTTGTCGATTACAATAAGGATTATTTTTGCGTGAACATTAATGCAAATATCGCTCTTATTGTAATCGACAAAGTGGTACCTTTTCATTTGGACGTCCACAAATATTTTTAATGTAAAATGCATGCCATTAAGATATATTTTTCTTTTATTTTTCTATTCGCATGAATTTTACATAAAAATAATATTTAAAAATTTTCCTCAAAACTTTATTAGTTTCTTAAATTTTTGATTTATTGTTCTTTTCAAATAAACATATTTTCTTAACACAAAGTTTTTAAGAAGTAAAAAGTTTTTTCGTAAACAAACTCATTTTTAGCTTTAAATTATTTTTAAAACCCAATTTATTTAACACGTAGAGATAATATGGTGTCAAAATGACACCAGAAAAATTTTTCGCCTAGGTCTCTTAAAATTGGTCTTTCAAAACCTAAATTGCAATTTCTTTTTACATTTTTCAATGTGAAATAATTTTAAATGTGGAAAAACAGTATTAAATTTAATAGATTAGATCTTTAACTAAAATTCAGTTACAGAATTGAGTCGAAGAATTAAGTGGAAGGAAAATGCAACTGTTCTGCTGAGTGGGGTCCGCTTGACCCCACATGACCATTACGTTATATGATAACAAATTTTCTCTTAAAATAATTTCTTTTTAAAATATAAAATATATAATATATATTAAAAAGTTGTTTTTAATAAACAATAAAATTATAAAGTAAATGATTTTATCAAATTTTCAAATAATATTCATTTGTAATATTTTATTAAACAAATTATTTTAAAAGAAAATTTGATGCCAAATACTAATTAATATTTTGAGTTTTTTGGTCAAAGTTGTAGTAATGTAATTAAAATTTTTATCCAATTTATCAGTACAAAACTCTCCAGAAAAAATATGACAATAATTAATATTATTTATTAAAATTTGTTATTAATTTTATTTATATAAATAAAGAAAAAACTTTTTTTAGTAATTTTAAGTTAAAAATGAGTTTGTAATAGATATACGAAAAAAAGTTTTACTGCTTTAAAATTTATTTTAAGGAAAATTTTAAATTATTTTTTTATGTACAATGCACGCGAATTGAAATATAAATATCTTAATCGTATCCATTTTACATAAAAAATATCAGTTTATTTTTCTTAATATTGTTGGTTTTTTATATTTTTTTTATTTAAGTATATTTCTAGTTCTACATTTCAAATTTACGTATTTTTGAAAACAAAGTTTTAAAGTAGTAAAATTTCTATGTTTTTTAAATATCAACATTGTACAAACTTATTGAAATCAAATTTCATTTGTGTCGATAGATTTTACTACCTAAACATTTTTTATGTCCAAAAAACAAATATTTCTTTAAGTTCAAAAAACCGAAGAAACTTTTAATTAAATAACATTTTCCTAATTCAAAAACGTGAAAAATTTTTTAAGTTATAATAGAGAAAAAAATTGTAAGTGCCTTAAGCACCTCAACAGTTGAAGAGAGATATGAATCTCTACAAAGTTCACGATTTCACCAATGAAATGAATTTAACTTAGAAAAATTCCAATAACTTTTATCTTCAGCAATTTCTCAGTCCAAGTTGAACTTAGAAAATAACATTATCTATTTATGAAAATTTTTCTATTTTCAAAATTTGAAACAAAAGACGTCTTTAGGACATCTTAACCCTCTCCCCTGTCCTAGTGACCGTTACCGACAAAAAACAACAATTCGGTCGTCTGGTGGGGACTATGGGAAATATATTCTATAGCGCTGGAGTGGAGATAATCCAGGACAGGGAGAGGGTTAAAGAAATCTAATCCTTAGGACGTCTTTTGAATAAGTGTACCCATTGGTATATCGTCGATTTTGACCTCTTCGATTTGGCTCAAAATTTTTTTACCATTTTGTACCCTTCAAAAAAGAGCTCATGATTTTTTAAAAATTTTTTCATTAAGCCGTTTACGAGATATAAATTTTTCAAAATTGAAGAATTTTCATGATTTTATATTTTTGTATACCTACTCATAAATTCCTTAAAAATGCATCAATTTTGAAATTTTTTTCAAAATATGTGTTTTTAACTGAACTTTCAAAAATTTCATGCAAAAAATTATATTATTAAAATTTACTATATTTTTTATAATTTAAAAGTTAAAATCTTGTTTTTAAAACTATTTGTGTCCTTCGATTTTTTTCAAAAAAACTATTTCCTTTTACAAAAATTTTAAGCTCCTTCTAAATTTCCAAAATATTTAACGATTACATTTAACAATTTTGAATTTTGAATTTCCTTAAATATCCCCTCACAATATGCCAAGAATCTTTAATTTTAATATTTAACAGAAATTCAAATCCAATATTCAGCCAACCTCTGTGACTGACCTTTATTATGCGCGGACATTTAAACATCAACTCAACCTCGTTTGGACCTCGCGACTCAAGTTCCCGTACCTCGTCAAGCGAGGTTCAGTCAAGGTTCAGGGAAGTTTCGGTGCTGTCCGGGTATATATGATGCATTATTACATAATAGGTTAATTATCGTATTTTTTTTTTTAGTTTTTATATAAGTTTAACAATTGCAATACTTTAAATTTATTTTCCCTAAGATTTTTCTGAAATACAATGGCGTTCGTATTTACCCCGGTATTTTAGGAAAGTTGCAAAGTATCGAGGTAAATACGAGCGCTAAGTTTCCTGCGATTGTAATTTACCAAAAATGTTTGCTACCCCATAAAATTGTTCTAATGGAAGTAAAGTAACAACTTCATGCACCAGAATACCGGAAGTATTGTCTTTTAAAAGAAAAAACTTATGTTATTGTTGAAACTTACTAAAAGCGTTTGGATTTACCCCGGCTGACCCTACTACGTTTTAATATTTTCAGAAATTTATTTTGATCACAGTATGAGAAAAAACTATTTAATATTGAAAATTAAATTTATTAATTTTAGATGCTCCGTTTGAGAAATTATGATTCTATAGATTAAAATTTGTATTTATTTGAAGTTTTTAATACAAAATCCTATTTTCTACACAGCAAATTAAATTTTTTGTTTTAAATATAATAACAGTGAAAGTAGCGTTAAAATTTTTATTCATATGTACCTTTTTATCGATTATTATTTCTTTCGTTAAAATTTTACGCTTTAGTGAAATTTTACAAAAAAAATTTATTATTTATTGTATAAAGCGTTGAAAGTGTGTTTATTTTTTTCTTCTCTTTTTTGCCGATAAGAAAACTGCTCCGTTTTTATTTATTACATTTTAGTTATATATCATTTTATTATTCTGTAGATTAAATTTTTTTTATTTATTTACAGTTTCTAATAAAAAATTCTGGTTGTGTGACATAAATGTAAATTTTTTATTTGAAATAATAAAATCAAAAGTATATGATGTATTTTTATTATAATAATATCTATAAAATGTAACACACATAAAAGAAAGAAAAAATGTGATTTGAAATATTTCTATTATCTATATATATATATGTAAAAATAAAAGATTTCATAGTTTATAAAAGAAAATCGATGAACAAAATTCTCAACTCAATATTTGTTTTTATAATACGTTTGAGTTTAAAATTTTATAATTGTAAATGTTTGCTTTAGACTTTATTCTATTTTCCATATTCTGCTTTTCATTTTTATTTTCCCACTGGGATTTATGAAGAGCAAAAGAAAGAAAGAAAGTTTTGAATTGAAAATTGTGAAATCTTCCAGCTCTAAAGTAAATATAAGATTTATACAACAAAAAAATATATTGTTAATTATTCTTTTGTTTGATTTTACATTAGAAAAATTTTTTTAGTAAAGTCGAGGTTAATATGAAAATCCTGGATTATCTGGAAATCTCAGGGAAATTCATTTTGATTCATGGAATTATAGAAATATCATGAAATTTTTTTTTTAAATCATAAAAATTTATTTTTATTCAATTTCTCCACTATAGGTATAGTATGTATATTTATTTGTTTATCAGAAATGATAAAAATCAAGTTTTTAAAAAGAAATCAAAAAACATCCGATATATATTTTTTTTATATTTAAATCAGATTTATTTTATTTACATAAAATATTTATATTTTTATCAACGGAAAGAACATTTTTCAATAAAAAAAAACTAAAACTGTGCAACAAGTCGTCATTGAAAGTTGTTGATTTTTAAAAAGTCAATAAATTAGTAATATATTATATATGCTGTAAAATATTTCAATATTGGTTTTTCAAAATTGTCCAAAAATAAATGTTTTGATTTTTTAATAGTCAATAGAATTTTTTTTTATAGAAAAAAGTTGTTAAATATTAGATAAATCAATCCATTTGAAAATATTTTAAAAGGTTATACGACAGTTTTAATTATATAAAAATTTTTAAAAACTCATTCCAACGCGGAAAGTTTCTGCGAATTTCTAATAAATTTTATTTCGAAAATAGTAAAATTTACTTCCTGAAATAGTAAAAATTATTCCGGAAATAGTGAACTTTAGTATTTCTAGAGTAAAAATTTTCAGAAATGCACAGAAACAAAATTTGCTTTTGTCCTAATTTGAATTTAACTGAATTGTTGTTTTTTTTTATTTTAATTAATATTTAATCAAATTTGTATTAAAAGAAATTTTAATTTAATCAAAATTGCATTAATGAAATTTTTTTATTTCAACAAAATTTTATTTATTTATTTTTTTTTTTGAAAGAATTTTTATGTTATATCAAATTTCCTTTAAATAGAATTTTTATCATTTTTATTTCATTAAATTTTCATTTAACCAAATTTGTTTTTGACAGAATTTTTATTAAAGTACATTTTTCAATTTAACCAAAATTATTTTGCATTTTATAGAATTTTCATTTACCTAATTGAATTTACTTTTTTGACACAATTCTCATTTGACTAAATTGCTGATAATTATAATTTAATGAAATAAACGATTGTAGAAATGGTTTTAATTGATTTTTAAAAAGTCAATAAATCAAAATTATTAAAAAATAAATGTTTTCATTTTTGAAAACGTCGATCACTTTTAATAATTTATATAGTAAAATTTCTCAAATAAAGTAATCGATACCTTTTTAAGGGGAGACATCAGCATTTACGAGTGATACGAGAGATTTTAAAGAATCATCATTAAAAAAGCGTGTAAAAAAAAATTCAATATTTAAAAGGAAAGATTCATAAAATTTTAAACTCATTTAATTATTTTCGAAATTATATTTCTCTTAACATACAAACTGAATTCTTCATATTATTCTATTTTAATTTTTTTTTAATTTATAATTTTTTAAATAATTTATAATAATTTATTTTATATACGTAAATTTTTGACTATTGAAATACCATTTCAATTTTATTAATTAATTATATTATTGACATAAAAATTTGTTGAATAAATATAATTCAAAAAGTCATGTTTTAAAAATTTGTTTATTTTTAAAACATATAAATAACTTTAGATAACATGTCAGTAGAGTATTCTCCAATACTGGCCAATAGATTAAAAGATAAAATTTATTATTTCGAATATATATATATACAAAATTGAATGTAAAAAATATAAATTAAAAAAAAATTAATATTAAAGCCCTGATTTGAATTACAGATTTTTTAGCCAAAAATTAATTGAATAATTAAATTAAGATAAAACTTGAAAAATAATTTTGTATTATTATTATTATTATTATTATTATTATTAAAATTATTATTCAGGGTGTCTAGCGACGATCTGTAATTCCTTGAAAACCTGGAAGAGTCCTTGAATTTTTCATTCAGGTCCTGGAATTTTCATATTTTGTGTAAGAATTTTTTTTCCAACCGCGTTTTCGTAAACGTTTTTATGTAAATATTCTTATACAAAATTCAGGCCTCGGATTGCACGACTTTTTCGACTCGTTTCAATGAATGAGACTATTTTCAACTTAATTTAATAAAATGTGACTTTTTTGACTTTTTCTAAAACATTTTTTTAAGAAAATACACGTCTTTTTTAGAATAATATTCACATCTTCCTAAATTGAATTATTTAAAAGAATATTAACTAGAATTCTTCACAAAATTAATTATATTTAATAATAATTTTTATCAAGTTCTTTAAAAATTACATTATTTAAAATATTTTTCAATTGTAAGTCCTTTTAAATTCAATTATCTATAAAATACCTAGATGTAAAAAAATTCATTAATTAAAATTTCCTGAAATTAAATTATTTATAAAAAATTTTATACTTGAACTCTCCAAAAATTCATTTACTTTTAAAAAATTTTAACTGAAATTTTTTCAATTTTCAATTATTTTTAAAATTTTTTCTAAATTCATTTTTTTTTTTTTTTTGAATAATATTTTAATGAAGTTCTTTGAAAATTTCAAACATTTTCTAAACTTTTGAATACGAACAACTTGCATAAATCATATTTCAAACATTTTTTTTTCTTTTTTCAAATAATTTTAAATTATTTTTTAAAATTTGTCCTATACTGAATTGAATTCTTGAAAATTTGTTTAATTCTGAATGAAGCTGAAGTACGCAACATTTATGATAAACTATTTTTAAGGAAATAATTTTTTAAAATGATAAATTCTATAATTTTTTGCCTAAAAAATATTTTTTGTAGTTTTCTATTAATCAACAAATTATAAAAAAAATATTTTTTAGGTAAAAAAAATTATAGAATTTTTCATTTTAAAAAATTATTTGCTAAAAATTGTTTATCATAAACGTTGCATACTTCAGCTTAGTTAAAATGAAATAGTAAGTGAATAAAATATCTTAAAAATATCCCTATGAAATATTTTTATTAAGAAAATAATAAAATTTATTTAATTTCCAATTACAATTGTTTGATAATAATAATAATAATAATAATAATAATAAAATATTTACTAACTAATTGTATGTTTATTTAAAAATAAAAGAAGCGACTTTTTGCAGTTTTCTTGTAAAATGGAAATCGAATTTTTTCATTCTCTAAAAAATATATACATTTTTTATTTTTCATTGCTATAGAAATTTAAAAAAAAATTTATAGACCAAAAAATTACTTTGTTCATATTAACGTTCGAAACTTCAGGCACATCATTTAATGTATTTTTGTCATTATTTATTAAAATAGTACATATACATGAAAAAAAAGTTTTTAACCTGGGGCATTCTATGGGAAATTTTCATTGAAAATTTTTTTTTGTCCGAAACATTTTTTTTTTCGAAATCTATATGAAAAATAAGGAAATACGTATTTTTTTATTTGATGAAAATGAAGGAAGTTATAATTTTTTGAAATTTAACGTCAACGAAAAAAGTGTGTTTTTGGAACATTTTTTATTCTATTGTACTAAGAAATTAAAAATTATGCTATAAATGAAATTTGTTCATTTTTTCTCAAATTTTTCAAATATGTGCTCAAAAATAACGTACCTATAACAGAAGCAACAAAAAAATTGAAATTAAACTTATAAAGTGAGTTTTCTCAAAAGAGACACTTTCGACTTTTAATTTTTTTTTTTGCATTACAATCTCTGATGATTGATGAATTTTTTCCCCTATCTGCGAAAGTGGTATTTTTAGTTTTTAAATTACTATTTATAATTTTTTTAGTACGGCTCACAGAATTTAGGCATTTTTTCTACAAATATAACCTTTTTCCATTAACATTTATTTGTTTTTTTTTAATTTTCATAAAAACATACTAAAAATCGTTGCGTCAATAAAAAAATAAAAAATACGTATTTCCTTATTTTTCATATAGATTTCGAAAAAAATGTTTCGGACAAAAAAAATTTTCAATGAAAATTTCCCATAGAATGCCCCACCTGGAAAACCTGGAATTTTATTTGTCAAAAGCGCTAGACACCCTGTTATTATTATTATTATTAAATTAATTTAAATAAAAAATATTTGTTCAAATTACATTTTAATAAGATGAAAAATTGTGTCCAGAGTCACAGACGATTGAAGATTTTGGCGCAGCGCTACATCTGATGCGATCCGATTTGGAGTACTTACGTTCGGTGTTTATGGCAGTGGAAAACGGCGACCTTGGCATGTTAAAATCCCTCGGGATCAAGGACTCGGAATTGGGTGACGTGAAATTCTTCCTGGAGAAACTCGTCAACACTGGCTTTCTTGATTGAATTTTAAATCACATTCCATCGGATCAACGCCACATCTGTCTCCTTCTCAATCTGATTTCAAAAATTTTTATTCTACATCAACAAAATCAAATTCGGCTATTTGAAATTTGAAATAAAAAAAAAAAAAAAAAATTCTTCTCCACTACTACATTAATTGGCAATAAACAAAATAATCTACCTCATTGAAAACTATATAATATATTTACAATTAAAAATAAAAGAAAGAAAGAAAAAAAAATTATATATTGGAGTGCAGTGTTTTTGGCGAAAGAAAAATTAAGAAAAATTCTAAAAAATATTTCAAAATTTTAATATTCAAAATTAATGGATCCTCCTAATACTTAAGACAAATTATTGCTACGCTCAAGGATTACTCTAATGGACGCGAATTTTTAATCACTTATACAACATTCGTATATCTCGTGTAGTTAACTTTCCGCATTTTTGCATGACAAAAAAAAAAAAAAAGTAATTTTACAAAGAAGAGGGATTTGGGGTAATATTATAATTATATAAGTATATTAATTAAACAATGCGATGCCTAAGACGATAGTGAAAGAAGAAATATAAAGAAGAAAAATACAAGAAAAATAAATAACTATTGTGACTAAATTCCCAACGAGATTGCATCTCACCAGATGGGACATTGAACAGATTTATTGTTCTTAAGTGACACAGTTCACATACATAAAAATCGATAATCTCTCCTACAGCAGTGAATAAAAAGTATATAAGAGAGATTTTGTGACAATCTCCTAGTACGGAAAAACGAGGATTTCTTCAAAGTGGTTTTTCTCAATAATTCAGAATGGACTTTGTTAAATGTTCTGATAAAAAAGAAATATCGAATATTTTCCCGAAATACAGGAAAATAAAAGGAGTTTTATCAAGAAAAATCTTGACAAAAAAAAAAGAAGAAGATTTTTATCGTCGCTTCGCGTCTTAAAGAGTCGTGCCTCGTTTTCGCTTATAAATGCGAAGCTTGCTTCCAAGAGTCAATTTTAACGAGCTTTCCTATTCAAATACTTTTTTTTTTCCACTCCATTAAAATTTGAACTAATGACTTTGGGAGTGACGTTTTTTCATAGTGGTTTTTTTTTGTTCACACAGTGAAACACAGTGCAACTTGGTTTAAAAAATACAATTTTCTTTTTTTTTTTTTAAATAAAAGTTTCGATTTTTCGTAAAAAAAAGAAGCTTTGATGAACTTGACAATCAAATTGCTGTACCTTGAATTTTTTGACTCTTCTTTCGACTCAAATATATTGACAAAAATCGTCGATTCAAGAAGATCGTTTGAGAGGACAAATCAACGATCTCGGGGTCAAAAGGCCAAGGATTGCAGATAGCAATCTTATTAATAAAAAAAATAAACCAGTCCACCCATGAAGACATATCATAGTTCTATTATAAAAGGCCCCCGATATACGATAGTATCGGCAGCCTTGATTCAAATAATAAAAAAACGTATTAAATAATGAAATACATATCACTAATGTAATTATTAATACGATAATAATTCATAAATACTAATTAAATCACTTGTTATTCATTTCACATAAAAGAATTCCTTTAATAATAAAAAAAATAGTCTTTTGAATTTAATTTTTGGGAAAAATTTCCACCTTTGTTAGAGAAAAATAAATTAACAAATATAGTTGTTGGAAATTTTTCTTCTAAATTAAATTCATTTAATAGACGTAAAAAAAAGAAGGTTTAATATATGCAAAAAAAAAAATTCTCTGAAATGAAAAAGAATGAAATTGCAGTACTCTCATTGTTGGAGAGGTTGTGTGAATTTTGTCACAAAGCAATTTTCCTTTTTTCTTAATGAACAAGTGAATTTTTGAGTATTTTTGAGAAAAAAAAAAAAAAAAAAATTTCGTTAAACTGAGATTTCTGTTTGATGAAATCTCAAAAGAAATACATTTATCAGAGAATGATAAATGTTATTTTGCTATAATATAAAGAAAAAAGGCTCTCTTAAGCCAACTTATATATGTATAATCAGAAGAGAAATTCACAGAAAATTAAAAGGCATTAAAATAAGCTGATTATTTTAATCCAATTTTGCTTATTTTAATACCAAAATTGATTAAAATAAGCAAAATTGGATTAAAATAATCAGCTTATTTTAATGCCTTTTAATTTTCTGTGTTATTATTATTATTATAATTATTATTAATACAAAATATTATTATCCCATAATATAGCGAAATTAGAAAAAAAAGAAAAACTCTGAAAATATGGTATTTTGTGTAACGATTTACAAACCATAATGAATCATAGACAAAGAAAGTCATAATTTTTTGCTACATTTTTTAGAAAAATTATGGAAAAAAAATTATGATTTGAGTATTTATAAATATTTTTATCCCTGCAGATTTTTTTTTATTAAATTTTTATTTAGAAAAATACAATTTTATTGTAAATTTTTTTTTAAGACAGTTATTATTAAAAAAAAAAAATATTTGTTTATTATTATTATTATTGTATTTTTTTTTCAAAATCTTCAAGGGATACGTGGAAGCATTCATAATCCAAAATAGGGCCTTGGCTTATGAAAAATATGGAAGTGTGGATATAGATTCAAAAATAGGATAAGATTTTTCATTATTTCAAAAAAATGTTTTAAAAAAATACCAAAAAAAAAAAAAATAAATAAAAAAGAAGAAGAAGAAAGATATTAAATGTAAGAATAATAATAATGATATAAGTATAATAATTAAACAATGAGAAAGTAAAGAATCTATTTTCTCAATTTTATAGACCGCTTCCAAGTAAGCCATAAAGATGGAGAGATTAATAATATCAAATATTAAGAAAAAAATAATTAAAAAATAGATTTATTTTTTTTCTATAATTTTTATCAGTATATTAAAAAAATATTCAATAATATATTTATTATTTATTCAATAATTTTTATCAGTATTAAAAAAAATATTTAAAAAATATATATTTATTATTTATTCTATAAACACGATGCTCAAGAAGCAATATAACAGGTATGACAAAAATGGGTGTAAATAATTCAGTGTGGATTATATTCGTCATTATTTATAGGTTAGAAATTCGTTTGAATATAAAAATTATAAAATTTCCATATTTCAAGATATTGTATATAAAAAGTGAAATATTATCTTTTAAATTTCATGTAAATTAAAAGATTAAAAATTATTTTATTTTTATAATACTTCGTGATTAATTTATTGTCATTAAATATAACCTCAAAATTTAGAATATTTGAATAAATAAACACCATATTTTGTTTCATGACTTTTGAATTAGTCGAAGCTTTGCGAGGTATTGTTTATAACAATAAATCAATTAAAAACGAGTTTTTTTTTAAACAGAATAATTTTATTCTTTACTATTTATACATGAAATTTGAAAGATAATATTTTACTTTTTTTTTTGTCTAAAAATAATAATAATTGTTGAATAATTTTTTTTTAAAACTAAAAACCCTTTTTTGTTCAAGGTAATATTATTTTCATAATAATTTAATTTATTACAATTATTTTATTATATTCTTTCTTTTACAATTATTTTATTATAATTTAATAAATTTCATTATTTTAAAAAAGGGCGCGCTATTTTGTCTTGGGCCAATTGTCTTGCATTTCCAACCTCAAAATCATTAATATTGTCAAATTGAGTGCACTAAAATCACATAATTCTGTATAACGAAATTTGTTACAGAATCTTGTAATTCTATTATTTAAATAGTAAAATTAAAACCTTTTTTTAATAGTGATGTCATTGAGAAAAGGAAATTTAATGATTTTTATTCCAACGAATTTCTAACCTATAAATAATGTCGAATACAACAGCATTGAAATATTTACACCCATTTTTGTCGTACCAGTTTAAAGCATCGTGTAATTTTAATCAATATCAAAAAAATACATTATTTATTCTTATTATTTCACTTAAATTTAAATTATTATTTTTTTTTAATATATTAAATGAAGAAAGTCGTTAAAACTTTCAATATTTGAAAAATATTCATTTGTGAGTTTCAAAAATTTATAACGAAAAGTATAAAAAAAATTTTAACGCATTCTTTTTTTTTTAAATCTAAAAATTGATATTTAACTAAATTTATATTATATATTAACTTTTAATTATTATAGATTTAAAATTTTTTTCCTTTTTTATTTTTGAACTGAAGCTAAAGGAATTGCTGTTTACTAATTATATAAATGATATAGACTACGTTATATAGATTACACAAAAAAAAAAAAATTTTACATTTATATGGATTATACACCTAATAGTTCATTAAATTAAACAACTATGTAACACTTTAAGCTTATATATTTACAAAATGACTTGCTTCGCCGAATTTTAACACATTTATAATATGGAGAATATCGAATGCAATAGGAAAAATGAATTCCTCTTTTAATTTGAAAATTACTATATATTGAATTATTAATATTTCTTTTAGTTAATCATTTATGAAAAATTATATATTTTATTTTCAAATTATATATTTATTTATTGAAAAATTAAATTTCAAAGTGAAAATTTAATTTTGGGATATTATTATTATATTAAAAAATACATGTAAAAGTGAATATTCTCCGAATAATTAAATATATTACTTCTTTGAATTTATTCTGAATGTTCCAAAATTGATATATCATTAGAATATATATTAACAAGAAGAAGCTTGTTGTTAGAGTTGTAATTGCATTTAAAAAAAAAAGTTTCATAGAAAAAGGTCACTTTTTTCCGTTTTGCACAAGGCAGAAAAAAATAAAATTTTTTCCAATTTCTATGTGTGATAACTATGTACATATCATACAAATACGATGAATTGTGATTAAGCGATTATTATATAATATATATATATATATAGTTTAAAAATTGTGCATCCTATACAAATTTATATGTGTGTCTTATTACGTGCATTGTATACACACGAATGAGTGTTAGTGTGTATATAATACACTTTTTATCCTCTCTATATTTAAATTAGTCAAAAATTACAAAAAAAAAAATACAAAAAATACAAAAAAAATACAAAAAAAAAAATATATATATACATATCATTTTTTGACCAATAGTAATTTTTTAAAACAATATTTTGTGTGATAAGAATTTTTTCTGATTTAAATTTAGAGTGGTTAGTAATTTCATAATTAAATGAGACTAAAAAAAAAAAAAAAAAAAATCTTATGAAAAATACACTCTGAATGCACATGAAGAAAAAATGATATTCTCATTTTATAAACGAACACCATATCTGCGATTTATTATTTATATTTATAATTATAAGCTTCTCGCGTTAAAATGAGAACTTTAATATTATATAGTTCAAGAAAATAATTAAATAATTATAATTATTTTCTTTGAAAGTTAAAATTTTAATTAACATAGTTGTTAAAATTGTTTCTTAGATGAAAATATTTTTTTTGGAAAATTTAAAAAAAAAACTGTATTTGTATAAACGAAGTTAGAAATATTTTTTTTTTTTTTTTTAATACTTAATTTAATTATCTAGACAGCAAAATTTTTAATTAATTTAACTCTTAATGTACTTAGATGAAATTATTCTAGTCTTCTTACTTCAGGGAAAATGAAAATGAATTGTTAATTTGTTTTAATGGACGAGGAAAGAATTAGTGTTTTATATTAGATAAAATCGCAGAAAAAATAAGTGCTGAGTGGTTCTAAGATAATTTATGAAATACTATACCGAGAATATTTGACGAAATTTCATTTTTTTTTTTTTTTTTTTTTTTTTTTTTTTTTTTTTAAGAAGCAACGACAGCAGTTGCAATTTACCTTTGATTACAAAAAGCTACGTAATTGACAAATCAATTATAAAAAGCTATTGGAAGATTAAAATTTAATTATTCGTTCATGTATACTATAGTAGATTTAAAATTTAATTCAATTTTTATTTAATTTTACTTTTTTTTAAATTAATATTAATTTTGATAATTTTTTTTTTATAATTGAACATTTATTTCTATTAACAAATTTGGAAATTTTTTAGATTTTTTAAAATAATTCCTGAAAGCCTAATTAACAATCGTGTAGTACAAACGATAAAAATAATAATAAAAACTTTATTTTCTAATTTTTTTTTGTCAGATTAAAATATTACTTTAAAAAATATTCGACAATCGAAATACATTACTAAAATAGTATTGTATTAAAATTTAATTATATTAATAATGTTTAATTATAAATTTTATTGAAAAATTTTCAAGGCTAATCAAATTCTTGGAAAATATATTTAAAAAATAGTTTACTTATATAAAAAATAATTTTTTATTAAAACATTCGAGATTTACTTCGTGTAAGATTTGTTAATAATTTTTTTTTTTTTCGTTAACTATATGTATACATTTTCCGATAAGTTATGTAAACTCCATTTCTTTTTGAATACAAGTGCTGAAAAAGATTATTGAGTATTGATTTTATCCTAGATTTTATATACTTACGTGATGATGCTGAAATGGAAATGTGATTGAACAGATTGAGAACTTTGGAGATAGCTTTGTTAACTATCTGAGAATATATTTGAAGGCGACTTCGACTTTGGAGAGTTCATGGGAAAACTATTTGCATATAAATTGATAAATTACACTTGTTTTGGTTTTTAGAACATTGGTATTATTAAAATTATTTTTTTTTAACCTCAAATTATTGTATTTATAGATGTAGAATATTTTATTAAATTATTTATTTTTACAAGCTCTCATGATAACAAAAAACATAACCTTAAAAAGGGATATTTTACATTTTTTTAAAAAATTAAAAAACCACATGTAATTTATTCCTCTAATTTTATGTCTAAAAAAAAATTTATAAATTCTATTTTTGATAATTGATCAAATTAGCAATTATTTTAAATTTAGTTTCAAATATCCCTGGTAGGTGGCGCCAATAAATATTTCCTAAAGAAAAGTCTCTCTTCTATATGTAATTTCACAGTCGCGACGACGCAGCAGACGATTTTTAAATTAATTTTCAGCGGTTGGAAACTTTTTAAAAAAGTTTTGTAAACAGTGCTGACTGCTGATTTTTCGAATGGTGAAGAAGAGAAAAAAAATGTATTTTTTTAAAATTAAAACTCAAAATAATTTTTTATAATTAAATATAAAATAAAAAAAAAAAAAAAAAATAGTTGTAATTACAATGAATAAAACATTTTCTCAATTACTTAACGTCTGTAGAGATGAACAACGTTCAGTTAATTGTGATTATCAGAATTGTGAATTTTCGAAAATTTATGATAATGATTGTTTAGAAAAATTAGAGACTGATATGAAAAATTTCATGGACTCACAAACAGTTTATCCAAGTGTTGTTGAATATACAAATATTAACAAATTGCTCGCTATATGCTCCTTATTGGTAAGTGTTTACACTTTAGTTTATAATTTTTATAAATATTTGTTTATGTCAAAAAAAAGGAAATTTTAATATTCATTTTTTAAAAATAATTTTTCTCAATTTAATTCTAAATAATATGTCCCACTATTCTGTCATGTTTCGTGTGTTTTTTTCATTTATCCGAAACATAACCTATATTTTCCTCTTTTTTTTTGGAAAGAATAATTTTTTAGTTACTGAGATTTATTTTTTTATATGTTTAGAAAGGAAATGTAGATAAAGCTACGAATTATTTAGTGGAATCTCATGCCAATGGTCTTCGACAAAATGTTATAATTAGATATCATAAAACAAAAACACGTACCAAATATCAATTGAATCCTATTTATGGATTAGATACCGATCATTTAAAATATAATATGGGAAATGGTTTAAATTTAAAATCTTTACAAGATAAGCTTGCAGATCTACCACCTGGTAAATATATTATTTTAATAATAATAATATAATTATTCGTAATTTCACTGCCGATTGACAATAATATCATTTATTTTATTATTTATTTTAATCTCAAATCATCAAATATGTTTTTCTACTTGAAAAATAAAAAAAACATATTTTTTTAAAATTTTTATAGATATTTTAAGATTTTAGCAAAGAAAAAAAAATAGTTTTTTCCAATTTTTTCTTAAGAGATCTTAAAACTTCTAATTCTTCTTATTTAGTTGATTTTTAGTCTTTTTTTTCAATTTTTTATACGTTTTTTGGAAAATAATAAATAAATATCAATAAATAATCAATAAAAATCAATAAATGTTGAAAAACAATAATAATAATGCAAATTTTTTTTTTTGAAAGAAACTAAAAAGAATTTTTTCCTGATAAATTACAATTCGAATAATTTTAAACTTAAATCAATTAGAACATTTTTTTTTTTTATTACAAAGGAAATCATATGAAAATAAATAAAATATAAGAAATTTAGAAAATTATGTTTTACCTAAACAGTCAAATTATAATAATTTCAAATAATCAAAAATTATTTGGATAATTTAAAAAAAATTAATTTAAAATAATTTGAATAAAAAAATTAATTAAAATTTTAATAAATTAAAATTCGCATAATTTGAAATTTAAAACCATCAATTTTTAGAAAAATTGAAAGTTTAACGGAGCTGAAGTACGCAACATTTATGATAAACGATTTTTAAAGAAATAAGTTTTTAAAATGAAAAATTCTATAATTTTTTGCCTAAAAAATATTTCTTGTAGTTTTCATTAATCAACAAATTATAAAAAAATATTTTTTAGGCAAAAAATTATAGAATTTTTCATTTTATAAACTTATTTCTTTAAAAATCGTTTATCATAAACGTTGGGTACTTCAGCTTCGTAAATTTTATTAATTTTAATTTTCGACCGATTGAATTTGTATTTGGATGAAAATTTTAATTAATAAATTTTATTTTGACCAATAAAAATTTGAATTGATTGATAGATTGATTGATAACTTGATATTAAAATAAAATTTAGATTAAATTTAAATTTAAATCGAATAAAATTTAATTGAAATGAATTAAAATTTGAATAAATTCAAAATTTGATTAAATTATTTTTAATGTTTTCTTTAAAACCTCTTAATTTTTTCATTCTTTAAGATTTGTAATTGTTTCTTAGATGAAATTTTTGTAATTTTTTAACACTTTTTTCTAAAATATAGTCAAATGGTAAAAATTTGAGATGAATTCGGTCAATAAATAAAAAAAATAAATGAAAGTATAGACAATGTTTTTTTTTTATCTTTTGATAAAATAAAAATTTCTCCGCAGAATGGTATGTTGTTCAAGTTACAATTCAACATGAGAATTTCGTTGATTGTAAATACAATGAAAATGTAGGAAATTGTCTTTACACTTTACGTAAAACACATCCAATACATGTTAGTATTTTTCCCACTGGACCAAATGCTGTTAAACCTTTTTGTTTGACATTACCAAAGCCCACGACAAATGAAAATTTTGATTTATGTAAAGAAATAGGATCGTTATTAAATAAAAATAAATCTGACTTGTCGAATACTTATTCAAATCGAAAGCTCTACTGGGAAATGCGCAATCGACAAGATGCTCAAATGAAGGTAAAAGTAGACTTGAATAATAAAATTTTTAATATATTTTTTAAATTCTAATTTTTTTTTATTATTATCATTACAGGCTGCTGTAACTGCATTAGAAAATACATGGTTAAGAGAATGGAGAATTCTTTTCCTTGCGGATTTATTAGAAAATTCAATTCTTGAAGAGACTGCACATAAAATGATTGATAAACTTATTGATAACTCTAATTATTCGTGAGTTAATTTTTACTTTTTTTTTTACTAAAATAATTAAAGTTAACTTGTTATGTTATTAGTGGTAATAATAATTATAATATTAATTTTATTATAATTACTAATAATAATAATATTAATATTTAATTTAATAAAAAGACTGTTTTTTAATTTAGCAATGAAATTTCAACTAGTACTCGATGGTTATTAAAAAAAGTAGCTGTATGTGTAACTTATTTATCAAAAGAAGAATGTGCAAGGGCAATAAAATATTTATTGCCAAAACAACGAAAACTTGCAAAAAACATTATGCTATCTATTCAGGGATTATTTAGTACAATAGGAAAATTAAAATTTACAAAAAGAAAAAATCTTATTTTAATTATAGATGAAGTATGTATTAATTATTTTCTACTTTATAATTATAATGTTATTTTCTTAACAAGAAATTTAATACTTTTTCATTGTTAGAATTTAGATTATATACCCTTTGAAGCAATGGAGATTTTAAAATATCAACCTGTTACACGATTTCCATCTTTTCATTTTACTTACGCTTTATTTATGGAAAATCGTGATTCAATTATTAATGGTTGTAAAGTTGTGGAAATAAAAAAAGACTTTGGTTCATTTATTGTGAATCCATCGTCTGATCTTCTTAAAATGGAAACAAGATTAAAAGCTTTTATGGACTATTGGCTTCCTGATTGGAAGGGATTGTATGGAAAGGAACCGGATAATAAGCGTTTTGAAAATGCTCTCGTCAATCATGACATTTTAATGTAAGAATTATAAAATTGATAATTTATTTTTCAAATTAAATTAAATTTAATTAAATGTTATATTTAGGTACGCTGGTCATGGAAGTGGTATTCAGTATTTGTATGTTGAAGATATTGAGAGACTACGAGTAAAAGCAATTGCGCTACTTTTTGGATGTAGTAGTTTGAAACTCACGCCTGTTGGAGGTCGACAACCACCTTTTGGCGTTTCTAATCAATATTTAGCCGCTTGCAGGTAATATAATCTCTTAAACTATAAATATCAGCATGATAATACACTGAGAAAACAATCTATTTAACTTTAAAGGAATCCTTTCATCTTAAATGGATTTTTTAAAATATTTATTTAAGAGGATTTCCTTTTATAATAAAAGGAAAGTGCTTTAATTATTAAGAGAAATTATTTTACTATCAAAGAGATACATTTTGGAAAAAACCAAAAGATTATTAATTTTTTATTAGTATTATTAATAATTAATTAAACAAATTAAAATTATTTACTATTATTATTAATTATAACCTCTCTTATAATTTCATTGGCAATTTTTTATACGCTATTTTTATAGTTCTAAACAATTAATTAATTTTGAAAAATTTCAATTTTTTTAAACGATAAAATTTCTAAATATAAGAAAACTGATAAAATAGTCAAAAATTACATTTTTTTAATTTTTTTCAATACAGGCCTCGGATTATACTTTTCCGACTTTTTTTTTCAAAAATACGACTTTTTTCGATTTTTTTTACAAAATTTTTAAACAAAATTCTTCACTAAATTAATTATTTTTAATAATTTTAATGAAATTCTTGACAATTTCAATTATCTTAAACTATTTTTTAAATTAAAATTTTCATGAAATTTAATAATTGTTTATTAATTTAAAAAAATTATCAAATAAAATTACCAACAATTTTTAGTTCGAAATCACTTGAAATTTAATTATTTGCAAAAATTTTAATTATTTTTTAATGATTTTTTATAATATTTTTCGAAAATTCAATTATCTGAAAGCATTTTTCAATTAAAAACTTTTGGAATTCAATTTTTTTTGTATGATTTCTAATAAATTCTTCAACAGAAATTTTTTTTTCACTAGAAATTTCTTTTATTATAAATATTGTCTGAAATTTAGCACAATCTTTTGAAATTTAATTATTTTCAAAAATTTCAATTTAAAAGCTGCTAAAATTTAAATATTTCTAAAAATTTTCCATCTAAAATTTTTTGTGTAATTTAATAATTTCAATTATAACTCTCCTGAAATTCAAATTGTTTTTAATAATTTTGTATAATATTCTTCGAAAATTTAACTATATCTAAAACCATTTTTTCATTCAAAAAGTTTTTTAAATAATTGTATTTTTGTCTGCAATTTCTAATAAATTTTTCAGTAACAGAAATCATCAAAAAAAAAAAATTTAATTAATAATCACATGAAGTTCAATTAATTTCCAAAATCTAAATTGTAAATTTTTGAAAATTCAATTACTTTTAAAAAATGTTATTTTTAAATTATTTGATAAATTATTTTTAGTTCTTACAATTAGTTCGATTTTGAAATATTCGAAAGTAAATTTTATTGATAATATTCATTATAGAATTATTCTCATTACAGAATATCTAATAACATTAGTTATTTAAAGTAAACTATTGATTAACCAATTAAATTTTAAAATAAAAAAAATCTATTTTTTTTGTAATATCGACATAAAACGACTTTTTTTGTGCCTTAAAGTTGATCCAAAGCTGGAAAATTAATTTTGAACCTTAGAATATACAAAATTAAATGTAAAAAATAGATTTAATATAAATTTATAAAAAAAAAAAAGTTTAAAATATTTTAATGTAGACAAAATTTTTGATTTAAAACATAATTAAAATGTAAAAAAAAACCCATCGATATAAATCGTGAATTAAATCATTACAACTCTGGTAAAAATATATCAAAAATTCGAATTTGAAAAATTTTGGTATTTAATACAAAAAAAATTATTGTAATAATTAAAATACTTCTTTTATGAGGAAGCAATACGTATTTTTTTATTTTTCATAGAGTTGGAAAACATTTTTTGATTGACAATTTCACATGGAATTAGATTATAACTTGAAAAAAATCACCATATTATTCATTTTTTTTTTTTAATTTTTCAAGAATTAAATTTCTAAATATAAAATTAAAACTTGTAATGAATTATGCTTGAATTTTTCTTTGTCTTTTTTGACGTTACGATTTTGTTTTTGAAAAAAAAAAGAGAACAAAAATTAATTATTTATTGACATTTTTAGTCCTTGTAATTTGGGAATGCTTTGGGAAGTCACCGATGGTGATTGTGATAAATTGACAGCAAGATTCATGAGCGAATGGATTCCAAATGCAAAAAAAGAACCATGGTCTTCAGTAGATTTAGTTAAATGGGAAAATGGTAATATAGGTATGTATATTATTTTCTTATTCTTTTTTAAAAAAAAAAAATGTTTTTCAATTTATGTAATTTTTTTTTTTATTTATTTACTTAATTTTTAAAGTCTTTACAATTGTTTTTCTTTCCAGTTCTTAATAAAAAACTTAAAGAACCTGAACCACAAGAATTTGAAATGCTAAGAGCAATTGCAAAATCAAAAGATTCGTGCTTGCAATTTATGACCGCAGCAGCTACAATAGTTCGAGGATTGCCAATCACCCTAAAACAAGTTTAAAAGTGTAGATTTTCACGAGGTGTATGTGTGTGTGTGTGTAAATAGGTTTTATATTGAGAATATACAAACATTTTTTTAAAATCAATTCTATGTAATAGCAAATTTTTATATATAAGAAATGTTTATTTTGTATGAATTTATAAAATAGAATTAGAAAATAAATTTATTTTTTTTTATAATTGCCAAATAATGATGATAAAATGTAATGAAAAAATTAATAAATATTACTTCCGTGAAGAAAGAGTCTTTGTTTGTATTTAAATAATTTTTTTTTTTTTTATTTGGATTTAACTAAACAATTTTTTATTTTTGTATACGAATGAGACTCAATGGTCTATAAGAAGTAAATAGCAAGCTTAATAAGAGTTTGAGATAATAATTGCGATATACCATATTTAGTAATTTCAAACTTTTTGTCACGCACAGAATTTTACACATTAATTCAAGTCACACTTGTCGAATATGTCATTATTTATTTTTTTTTATTGCTTTATAATAGATCTCAATATTTTTTTTTTACATTTGTTAAGTGTATATTTTTTTTTTTTAGGAATTCACGATCCTGCTTGAGAGCTGTTAAAAGCTATTAAAGCATTTATGATTGAGTAAATTACAATAATTTAATTTAATTCAATGTGAAACACAATTTGTTCGCTTAATTTGATTATAAGTAGCGAGGATTCTCACGCCATAAACTTCTTTCTTTCTTTCTTTCTCTTTCTCTCTCTCTCTTTCTCTCTTCGTAAAATCTTTATTTTTTGGTAATTAGTATTATATTTACAAAATCAGAAACCTAGTTCTAATATTTTTTATTAAATGTTGCAGTCTTTTGCGTCACATTGAATTCGTGAATTAAAGAATACATATTTTTTTTTCGTTAAAGGGGCAAACGGTAAAAAAAAATAATTATTCATAAAATGATATGTTTGTTTTTTTTTAAGAGTAAAAGTATAATGGTTTTTTTTTTACAGAAAAAAGGAATCTTCGATATGCGGAGAATATATACGCTTGGCCGGAAAATGATTCTGAAGTACGTGTAAATAAATGTCCGCTAAATTAGATGGATGTTTTTTTTTTTTGGTTTTTATTTGCGGACATGTGAAATTAAGGATCGTTTGCCAAAGTAGTATCAACTCTTGTGTTATAGGAAATACAAGCCAGAAAAAATGTTTGGTATTTTTTTTTTATATAAAAATAGGTTTTTTTTTAACCTCTTGTAGATATTTGAAAAATTGGTTTTAAATAATCATTAAAATTACAAAATCTTTGCAAAGTGATTATTATTATTATTTTTTTTTTTTATTAATATTATTATTATTATTATTAATGATAAATATTGAAAAAGAGTGAGTTAAACTACTTAGGCATCGAGACCTTCGTCAATTGTCACAATCAGATATGAATGATTGCATAAATACATAAGTGCAAAAGATACAAAACATCATTTAGCTCTTAATTTTTCATTATAATCTCGCTATCTTGTTACATCGCTTGGTTTGCTGTTTTTTTTCAAGTTATTAATAATTAATGCGATAAATTTATGTTACATTTTTAATTCACTTCAATATACTCATCAGTTTAAACATTAACGTACGAATAATGGAAGACTTAGCAGTATCCAGGGACACTTTTTAAAAAGGATTTTTATTCGACATTCAGTTTTTTGTTTTTCATTTTTTTTTTTTTTTTTTTTTTTAAATTCTTTTTCTTAAATTTTCCGATTTATTATCAACCGTTTCATTCGGTCCCCTATTTTTTTTTTTTTATAAATAAGGCGGTGAATTTCATGACTCAAAAAATCAAGTAATTTTTTCAGTCATGTAATTTCCACCTAGTATACACTTTGATTCTCATCATCTTTATCACTTTTTTTTTTTTTTTTTGGTAGCAAGGTGAATTTGTCAACGATATATTTGATAATAATTTTATTATTATAACGATCGAGACAATTTTTTAAATCCTGAAAAACTTGGACATATTTTTTTAAGCACTGGAAGCCACCTTTTACATTTAGTTTTTTTTTTTGTCATCGACAATAATTAGATTTCTGATATGGTAATCTGTTGTTAAATAAATGGTAATCTAACCATTAATATATTTATATATATATATAGTCAAGGACTCGATTTTTTTTTTTTATCAAGGACGATGAGAATGTTGACGGCGATGATTAACACTTTGATGCTGTTAATGGGAGATAGTAAAAGATAATATATAAATTGTAATTATGAAACTTGATAATAAATGTGATAATGATAACAACAGTAACGTTAAATACTATAATATTCTAAGTACTGAGACGTTGGAGTCTGTACAAATTCTAATATGTGTATTGTCTGTAAGGTTCGTAATTTTTTTCTCATTTTTCAACAATAATATGCATCTAATGGTATATTATACAATAATAGAATTTCTTATGTTTTTTTTTCTTCATAAGATAATAGATAATACCTAAAGAGTTTTTTTTTAGCATCGCATCAACTTTTACACCCTCATCGATCGATTATTCACCAAACAAAAAGGATCGATCATTTAATTTTTTTTTTGTGCGGTACCTAACGATGGGAAGAAATTTTTTTAGAAGCTCAAAACTCATTTCGTAGATTTTTTTTTCTCATTTTACTATATAAGTTTCATTTTCCCTACTTTATTCCTTTAATACTGTGTATTTTTTTTTAGGCTTTCCTGAAACCTTGTGAGTGAGCAACTACTCCTTGGACTCTTTTTGTTTGAAGAAACAAAACGAAAAAAATTTTCACTAATATTTTACAAGGTCTCTTTATTTTTTCTCGAAGCATTTCCGAGTTAAATTTCATTAGAAGGAGGAAAAGAAAGTTTAAAAATTAATAATTTACTATAATTAACAATATTTTCTATAATAATTTTATAAATTCAAATACGATAAATTATTGTCATATAAATATTTTATAATACTATTGTCTATATTTATCGACTATTTTTTTTTTCTTTTTTTTCAAACAGAAGATAAATTTTATTTCTTTCTCTCCTTCTTGTTTTCGATAGTAATTTTTTTTTTTTTTTTTTCTCAAAATCGGAACAATTGTTGCGAGGAACAAAAAATGTTTTTAAGATGTTAAATTCAATGTCGTTAAAAAGAAATACTTTTCAAGTATTTTCAATTAAACGCTCACACGAGGGACTCTTATTTTCTTTTTCTTTAGGATTATTATTTTTTTTCTTTTAGTCTTACGCCAAAACGATAGGCAAAAATCATACTCGAAGGCACCTGTGTTATTCAATGCAATATAACTGTCAGTTCACAAACGTACAATTGATTCGCTGATGCACCAAAAGACGGAAGATTTTCTTTTTTTTTTTTTTTTTAATATTCCATCGCATAAAAATACGTGAAATTGTATCGAGTATTTTTTTTTATATCTGTACGAAAAAGAAATACTCTGAAATTTACAAAGGCTACGATATTATCAGTTTGTGCTTTCGTTATGTTTTTTTTTTAATTTTCTTTCATTCTTTCTCATTTTTTTTGTAGATTCTGCTGTTTTACGTTACGAGAGTGAAAAAAAAACTGAGACACTAGGATTGTAAACTGAATATATTGTGATCTAATCACAATTATTCATGATGCTTAAAATTCTAGGCGATTTTTGCACGTAAAACCATCGAGATTTTTGTACTCGAAACAATATTTAAAACTTTTGCCGACTCAATGTGCACTTTGAAAAAAAAAAAAAAAAAAAAAAAAAAACACCAATTATCGTCTAATATTTATTAATTTTTTTTTCCAAATCTGAATCTGCTATATGAACTTTCAGCAGGACAGGTGACAACGATGTTAAACGAGATATTAAAAACATTTAAGAATCTATTTGGCTGCCAGCGCCAGGATTAATTTAAAGACATTTGCATCATTTTTTTTAAAAGTAACTTTTTTCTACTCTTCTTCAAATGGAGAACGAGTTTTTCTTCCTTCTTTTGTCAAGTCACTTGGCAGGAATTGAGAAAAGTCCCGTTTTATTTATTTTTTTTTTGGAAGAACTCGACATGAGAAGAATTAGTTTGAGATAGTAACACTTAATTTATAAATATATATATATATATAACTGGAGCTAATTTTTCCCTCAGAAAGAGAATAGATGACAAATGCCCTACTTTTAAAAATGAAAAAAAAAAAATTTTTTTTGATCTTCATTTTTTTAAGATTTTTTTTTTTTTAATGATTCATTTTTGTAACTCTTGAGAATTACCTCTCTTTTTATAATGTATAAAAATTGTTTATATTTCCCTTCAGAATGAAATAATAAGGAAATATAATCGAGTCTCCATCGCAACTTAGAGGAAATACGCATTTAATTACAGTGAGATCCTCTCTTCTTCTTTGTCTCGATTAATTTGTGCGTAGGTATTTCTCCATTTTTCCTTGAATTCCGTTTTTTATTTATTTTTTTGAAATATTACTTTCAAAAAATTTAAACGGAATTAAATAACATATATAGATTTTAGCAAAACACCCTTTTGTAAGTATTTGCAAAAAATTGAATGTTACTTGCATGTACATATTAAAATATAGGCGAATTTTATGAAACTCGCATCACAAAAAAAAAAAAAAAAAAACATTTAAAATTGCTTATATTTTTCGATGTGTAAAGAGTCACGTAAAATGGATTAATATCGTTGCAAAAATTAGGCTCAATGAGAGACTTAATCCATTTGTTCCACCGCAGAATTTAATTTCCATTTCTTCGGGATGATAATTTATACACTTCCCTGGTCTGCGACGATATAGTCGTTCTCTCCGTGCACTACAAGCTCCGGATTCTATTAAAACTTCAATAGGCCTGATACTGAGCTTCTTGCTTAGACAAGGACAGAGTGTGTCAACCACTAGGAGAATTAGATTTGTGTGCTGTATTTTTTGAACGCTGAAAGGCCTGTGAAAAATATTTACAATATTACATATTTCATTAATTTACATTTTCTCAAAAGTAAATGAAAATAAATAAACTCAGATTTTGCACTTCTGAGTAAATAAAAAGTAACAAAAAGTGGTTTTCGAGGTAAAAACAAAAAAAAAAGTAGGAAATAGTAGTCGTGAAAAAAAATATTTTTTCATTTACAAGAACAATAAAACTTTCTGTTTTTTATAGTAAATACTTATACAAAGTATTTCTCTGATTTTACTAGTAATTTTAATTAATAACAAAAAAATTGACTATTTATTGAAAGTTTGATATATTTTAAAATTTGTTTAATCAAATTATTATCATTATTTATCGAAAAACTTTTGTAATGAACTTTCAAAAAAAAAAAAACCAAAATATTAATACATAAATATTAAAGCAAAATTTTAAGTTCACAGGTAACACGTCATAACATTATCAATAATGTCTTTCTAATAACTGAATTAATATCAAATATTCCCGTAGTTATACAAAATAATACAGATAATGTTGAAAAAGTTTAAAAATTAAATAATTAATTGATAAATAAATTTTAAGAATTTCTGAAATAAGAGGAGAATTTAAAGGAAAAATATTTAAACATATGGAAGTTTAAGACGAAAAATCGATAATGAAAAGAACATTTGAATTTTAGAAAAATTTGAAAAAGAATTAATAATAGGAGAATTTTTAGAAAATTAAAAGAAAATAGAAAATTTAAGGAAATAAAATTTTAAAAGAGAAAATTTAAAAAACAAATCAAGAATTTTAGAAATTTACAAAAAGAAAAGAATTTACGGGAAAAATTGTAAATTTTCGACTATATTGTAATAAAATTTGTGAGTAAATAAAGAAAAATTCCTAAAAATGAGAATCTGAGAGAAAGAAATGGGTTTAAAAAATGATTTTTTTTTAAATGAAAGAAAATAAAAAATTTAGGTAAAACAAAAAGTCGAAGAAATTGAAGGAAAAATAGTAAATTTTAGAAATTCACAAAAAAATTAAAAACTCTCCAAATAAAAAGAAATTTTGCGGGAAAAATCGAGAATTTTAGAAACGTTGAAAATACTTTTTATTTATAATAATGTAAGCTTTGTTTCTAATAGTTTTTCTGAATAAATATAATATGAATAAGTAGAAATAAAATCATTTAACAGTTTAAGAATTGAAAAATTAAATTATAAATAAATTTTAAGAATGCATAAAATAAAAGAATTTGAAAAAAAAAAAAATTAAACATGAACGGTTTGAGAAAAACATTGATAAATACAACAATTTGAGAAAGGAAAATTTAAGAAAATAAAGAAGAAACTTTAAAAGAGAAATCTAGATTTTTAGAAATTGACAAAATGAAAATAAATGAGTATTTTGTTAGGAAAATTGAGAATTTTTTGACACTTTGTAATACTAAATAAATAAATTTTAGGACTTTTAAACAATAAGATTAAATATGGGAATTAAATGTTTTAAAAAACAAAAATTTTAGAAAAATGAAAGCAAATTAAAAATTTAAGAGAATAAAAAACCGAAGAAATTTAAAGAAAAAAAAATGATAATTTTAAGAATTTCAGTCAAGAGAATTTGAAGAATAATTTGAAAACGAATAAAAACGAGAATTTTATAAAAATGAAGAAAAATTAAATTCAATGATATATATATATATAGTGTGAAAAAAGGAAAAATCGAGAATTTTATAAATTTTCATAATAAATGAAGAAATTGAAACAAACAACTAGTTTGTAAAAGTAGATAACTATATAAATTTTATGAGTTGCAAAAAAATGAAAATTTAAGAGAAAATATAGCCTTAGAAACAAAAACTTTCAATCAGAAAAAAAGATTTAAGAAGATAAAAAATATTATAAAAAAAAAAATTGAAAAAATCATCAAGTTTTGAAAAAATTAAAATTTATGATAAAAAATCAAAATTAAAATCAAAATCTTTGCTGTAAAATAGATAGAAGTTGTTCTATTTAATTTAAATTAAAATCAATAATAAATTCAATTTATATTAAATTACAGAAATGTAATATTGTAAATAAATTTAAAAAAAATTGATAATAACAGTAGCAAGTAGTAGTTTTTAGTAAATAAGTAAAAAACCGGTTAAAATTAGTAATAATTAAAAATTCTACCTTTCACATCCTGACTGATGACAATTCGTTAATTTTCCTTTTAATGGATTGCTCTGTCCACTTGTGTTGAGTCTTTCAGGTTGTAAAATATAAAGATCCGTTCTTTTCTCACAGGCTCTAAATTTATGATATTGAGCTGAAGTACTGTGAGCTAATGCAGGTGTTGCTACAGCTGGTGCAACTGCAGGATATTGTTCATTTTCAACTAGTGGCTCCTCTGTTAAATCTGGAGGATAGGCCTCATTATCTGAAAAAGCTAAACAAAAACATTGTAATAAGTATTTCTCACATAACCACTTTATTTAATTTAAAGAAAGAAAAAATTCTAATAAATTATTATTTTTTTTGGATTTAAAATTTTTTGTTTCTAATTAAAGTCTATTATAATAGAATTTTAAGGTTTTTGTAGTTTTTTTCAGCAAAAAATTATTAAAATTATAATAAATCATCATGATTAAGCCCAGATGATTTTAAATTGAAATTTCTTTGTTAATAAAAATTTTTTTTTTCTTAAATTCAACAGTGAAATAAAATTTTTCTTTTCTTTCATTTTTACCATCTTCGAAGTCCGCGTATGCCAAAATTGGCTGCCAAAGATCCTGTAGATTTAGATTCCAAGTTAAAGTCCAAAGTGTGCTACCCAACGACGCTATCATCTTGAAAATGGATTGAGAAATTCCTTTGGGTGCTGCAGATACCTGAGATGTCTGCGGTGAACAAGATCCTTGGTAATCCACTATTGTTAATTTCCTAAAAAAAAAATGTCGTAATAAAAATTCGGCTAAATTTAAATTCTATTAAATAAAACTTCTTTTAAATAATAATTCTGTTAAAGAAAAAATTGAGAATAAATTTAAATAAAAATTTCTATTAAACAAAATTTTTACTCAATACGAGTAAAATTAAATTAAAAATTAAAATTAATTAAATTAAAAATTAAATTAAATTTTAATTAATTGGATTGTTTTACAATTTTATAATTGGCAAAAAATATATATTTTTCATTTAATTCTTACCTAAATATTTTGTCCTGGACCAAAGAATCCATAATGGTTCCATCAATTTCGCCAAAGAATTTTCCAGTGTGCTCATGCTTTTCACTAATTATTATGAAACCATTATTATCCAAAATATAGCAATCCAATTCTTCGGAGGCACATGTCTTTTTACAGCCAGACATTCCAGTACACTAGAAAAAAAAATTTCTTTTTTATTTTCTAACTAAATATTAAATATAAAAATAAATTATCTTTTATATTTAATTAAAATTGCTTTTATAATTAAAAATAAATTTCAAAAATTAATTCTCGAATAGAATTTTATACTCATTTTTCTGTAAACATTTCGTTAATTCCGTCGTGTGTAATTTTAGTTTCTTTTCCTTTTTTTTTAATTTTTTAAAGTTCTTTGCTGGTATTAGTGCTTACCGTTGATGTAATGTTAACGAAATGCGACGCCAAAGATGAATGATGAAACTGCAATCCCACCACTGCTGCCGGCGCTTTATTTTGTCTTCCTTTATTTTCAACAAATATAGAATGCGTCGCAGTGACAAGGGGTTTTGGATTTTCAGCTATAAAGAAAACATTAACAATGAAATTATCAAAAGTTCATTCATTTCTTATAGTCATTAATTTTTTTTTTTTAATTAAATAATAGTATTTTATTTCTATTTTCTAAAAATCAAATTTTCTTTTTTAAAAAACAAAAATTATTATTACGAATCTAAACAAAATGTATTTTTTAAATAATAAATATTACAAAAGTTTGTATTATCTACATTTTTTAAAATTATTTTGTCTATTTTTATATTATGAAAATCATATAAAAAATATTATTAAATTTTTTATGTACCAGCATCAAAGGGTACACTGAAGACAAAACTTTCATCTTCCACAGAATGTTGATCCACTGCTCTTTTATACCAACTCGTATCCATTGCTCTTCTATTTGTCTCAGCGAAATGTCTATAATTAAATGAAATTAAAAATAAATATAAAAAAAAACAAAATGTCCCTATAATTTTCAAATTCTAATAAATATTTACGGTTCTTCAATAGGTTCTCCATTTTGTTGATGCTCATGCCATCGAAATAGTCCACTTCTAGTTGAAATAAAACTTCGAGCCACGTCAAATCTTCCCTTCCCTTTGCTGAAAACAAATGTCAAGTTAACATTGATTCCCTTGAATATTCATAAACATGAATAAACTTTTATGCTATTTTTAAAAACTATTTTTCATTTAAATTATATGTTTTGAAAATGAAAACAGAAATTTTACAATTAAAATTTTATCAAACTTTTTTTTTTAAAAAAATAGTAGGAAAAAAAAGAAAGAAAAAAAGAAATTTGCCTTGAAAATAAAAAGAAAAAATGTATTTTGTTTTTTTTTACTACACTTTAGTAAACAGTTTTTTTTTTATAAATTATTATTTACCCATTTCCAGAAACAACAATTTTTTTTTCAATTATTATTTAGTAAATTGGGATCTGTTTAAGTATAAAAATACTCACCATTGTTTTTTAAACCTAAAGAGTAATTAGTAATCCCATTTACTAGAAATAATTGATATTAAAATTAACAAATATCTAAAAAATAAATTTTTGTTTTGAAATATTGTTAATGGAATATTCTTTTTAGTAACCTTTATGTATAATGAAAGATATCAGATTTTGTTTTTTAATAAAAAAAACTATTAAAAATTAATTTTTTTAAGAAATAATAATTATTCTGATATATTTCACATAAAGAAGTGAATTTTTTTTTTTTTTTTTATGAAAAATGAATATTTTTCTCTTGTTAAATAGGAATAAATGACATCGTTAAGAGACACATTACCGTGCAATAGTTGCGAGTGAGTTTTAAACAAAATAGCTGTGCATAATTATTACCTTTGCAGAACAGCCATCAGTATGGCAATTGGGCTGGCGGTGAAGACACACAATAATCATATAATAAAATATACACCAAAAATATAACAGTGTAAATAAAAGGGACGTTCTGCATATTATAGTGCAGTGTGTTGAAAAAGCAGTGGAATTTTTCTTTTTTCTTCATATATAAGAAGCTTACAATATTTTTCATATTTTTTTTTTTTCATCAAAATTATTTTAAAACAATTTTTCGCATTTTTTTTTTTTTTTTTTTTGAAAGTATTTCGAATAATTTTTATAAATTGGAAAATTAACAAAAAAGCAATAATACAATTTAAATACATACAATTTGCTGAAGAAACTAATAAATTTTAAATACTTTTATAATTAACTATTATTAAAAATTGAAATTTATATAAATTAAATCTTTGGGTCATTCTAATAAATGAAGTTCGTAATTTTTATGATTATTAATTATAATTTCCTTTTTAATTATGCAATCATTATTATTGATTTAAATATTTGAATAATTTGTCTTTTTAGTGATTTAGTTAGAAAAATTGCTTCTATTTATTTTTAATAATTTGTTTTCAATTTTTTGTCTACGTCTATCTGTAAATAATTTTTTTCAAATATTCTAAAAAATCAAATTATTCGTAAACTTTTTTATTTTTTTGTACAAATATTGAAAAATTTTTCTCCTCTCATAAACAAGTATAGGCTCAATATATTATATTTCATCTAAAGTCGTTCTGGCCTATTTTTTTTTTTTTTTTTTTTTTTAATCTTATAAATAATAATTTTTTTTTGATATTCGTACAATTCATTTTTGACAATTATATTATACCTATAATAATAAAATGCTTGGTCTGTTCTTCTGTCCTAACTTGAAGTTGGCCTTTTATGATTTCACGTTTTTTTTTTTGAATAGTAATCTTATGACGTGTCAAATTTTGACAATTCTTTTTCTCATTTTTGCCAAAGTTGTATAATTGTGTTTCCAAATTTCGGAATAAGTTTCTTTAAAATTCCAAATTCGAAAATTCAATTCACGAAGCTAAAGTACACAACGTTTACCAACGAAATTTTTTTTAAAGTTGTATATATTGATTCAAAAATTGTATACAAATACAAAAAATTTATGATGAGAAAAAAGATGCGCCAGGAAATTTCGTACAAGATAGTAATTTGAAAAAAATTAATTTTTAAAAATTAATTTTTAAGGTACAAGGGGCCAACGAATACCTATTAAATATTAATTATAAAAACACAGGCCTCGAATCAACTTAAAGACACAAAAAGTCGTTTTAGTCGATTTATATTCTAAAAAAAAGTGGATTTGTTTTTTATTTTAACAAAAATATTTTACAGATTTTTAAATAAACATTTTTTTTTCAATAATAATCCTTTTCGAAGGGTTAAAGTTGAAATTTTTAGAAATATTTAAATTTCAAAAGATATTGTTAATTTTCAAACAATTATTAAATTTTACAGAACTAAAAATAATTTATCAAACAATTTTTGGAAAACATTTTTTAAATTTAATTGAATTTTCAAAGATTTAAAATTGAGATTTTTGAAATAAATTGAAACTTTAAGTGTTTTGTAATTAAAATTTTAGATGATTTCACTAAAAATTTATTAGAAAATGCGGACAAAATACAATAATTTGAAAATCATTTTTAATTGAAAAATGGTTTCAGATAGTTGAATTTTCAAAGAATATTATTAAAATAGTTAAAAATAATTGAATTTCCTTAGAGTTATAATTGAAATTATTAAATTTCAAAAAAAAAATTTTCGATGGAAAATTTTAGAAATAATTAAGTTTTTGATGCTTTTAAATTCAAATTATTGAAAATTCAATTAATTTTGAATTCAAATTTTTGAGAATAATTAAATTTTATTTGATTTTAAATTTGGAAAATAATTGAATTTCACTTCATTTTGAATTGAAAATTTTGGGAAATAATTGAATTTTAATTGAAATTTTGGATAATAATTTAATTTAAGTTCATTTTTGATTGAAAATTTGGATAATTAATTTTGAATTGAAATTTTAGAAAATAATTGAATTTTATTTCATTTTAAATTGAAAAATTGGTAAATAATTAAATTTTAAATTGAAAATTTTTGATAATTATTCAATTTTAATTGATTTTGAATTAAAATTTTGGGTAATAATTGAATTAATTGTCGGAAAAAAAAGTCGTATAATACGAGGCCTGTAAACATATAATTTTCATTATTATCATTTAATATGTAATAATATTCTAATAAATTAAATTATTATTGATAATATTAATCTTTAATTTCTTTATAACAAATAATTAAATACTCAATTTGGCGCGCTTGCGCGCGTTTAATTTTGCTGGTATTATATAAAGCAGATTTTCTAGTACATCGAATTTCAAGTTAATACAATTTCAATTTAACAGAATTTATGTCAAGAAAAATTGCATAAAGAAAAATTTTTTTAACAGAATTGTTATTTTTAGTCAATTTCGATTTATCAAAATATTTACTTAACAGAATTTTAATTGAATAAATCCAAAATTAACAGAATTTCTATTTAACAAAATTAAGAAGAAGAACTAATTATGGTAATAACTCATTGATTGCTAGACTTAGCAGAGAGGCAAACATGATTTCTAATGACATTAATTTCTTTGATAATAATGTCACACGATTCACATCATCATTACGTAATATCTTGCTAAACGAAAACTAAAATATCTTTTCTTAAGTGGCTACCTAGATTTAGTAAAATATAGTATTGTAATTTTTAGATTTAGGAGTACTTTTGTACGAAAGGGCATGTCCCGTTATGTTCCAAATAAAATAAAATAAAATAAAATAAAAATTTTTATTAAAGAATATTTTAATTCCAACTAATTCTTATTTAACAGAATTCTCATTAAAGAAAAATTCTACTTAGTTCTTTTTTTGTCAACTTTTATAGACATAAATTTCGTTAAATTGGAATTATATTAATTTAAAATTTTTTAAGAATATTAGAAAAAATGCTTTATATGAGTTCTGCTAAATAGAAATTCTTTTAAATCGAATTTTAATTAAAAGTAAATTCTTCGATATGAAAATTTTGCATAATATAAAATCCACTTTTTACAATTTTGCTAAATAGAAATTGGATAATTTAATATTCGACGCCGTAAAAATTTTTAAAAGTTAAATGTGGGTATTAACATTAAATAATAAATTATTCGTATTAATGAATAATTTACTTTATTTTAAGTTGAACCGATAAAATAAAATTGTAACAAATAATTTTTATTTATATTAAAAAATCATTTATTAGATTCAATAAATAATTTCCTGACCGTTAGACACCCTGGGTTTGTATGAAATATAGTAGAATTTATATTAAGTGAATTACTGATTTAAAAAAAAAACGTTTTATTGCATAATTTCAAATGATAATAATGGATTTTACAAAAATTATTATTATTTAAGTAATCATAATTTTATTATTATTTCTGTACTTTTTTAACTAATTTTTACGGCTGTTAAATTAACCTTTTTTCCTTGCAATCCATCTCTAAAATTTAAATTCCAAGGAAAATATATAAATTTTAAAAAAATCGTTAAAAATATATTGTACGAATATAAAAAATTATTATTACGAATTGTAAGATTTTTTTTTGTTTAAAAACAGGCCAGAACGATTTTAGATAAAATAATTACAATTGATCCTAATAAAATTTTGTAATATTTTATTGAAAAAAAAAAAAAGTTAGTTACGTATTTCTAAAATGGATTAATATTCGTAAAAGAAATATAATTCTTTCTTTTTTTTTTAAAGTTGATCTTGGATTAGAATAGAAAGACATATATGAAAAACACCGGGTGACAAGAAAGCAAGAGCTATATATGGTGGTGCTTTGCATTCTTCTCCCACTTTCACTGTAGGGACAATTGAATAGGTGCTAAGTGACTAAAAGAAAACTAGCATTGTGCTTTGTGCATTACTGGTGCTAAGGTTTGTTTTCGTTTGTTTAAACGGGCGTGCCAAAAAAAAAAATTTTTTTTTTTATTTTGTTTTTTTTTGCAAAACTTACCTTAAATTCTCTTCTTTATGCAAAGATTTTTCACTTTTCTTTTCAAAATCTTGTGTTACTTTAGCATCTAATACCAAAGACTGTAAAAGTGTTTTGTCACCTGGAAAATAATTTTTTTTATATTAAATTAAATTAAAATGGGAAAAATTTCAATTGTTTTTTTTTAAATTTAGAAAAATTTGTGTAATTAATAATTAAATGAATTAATAATAAAAAATAATGAATTTCTGAAAATGCTTACAATAATATGCTTCTTTATCTGGTTTGCTCGCTTGTTTAGGATGTGAGCTTTGACTCTTTGGTCGCATTGACATCCATTTCCAACCCGGTTTTCGAGACCGGGATAGAAAATGAAGGACACGTTCTTCTGGGGTAGCAAATTTTTTATCGGAGGCAGAATTATATTCGCAATAAATCCAATCCGGATGAACTTTCCAATGTCCTTTAAACAATTCCGTTACTGAAAAAAAAACAATTTCTTCACGTTAGTGAGTCAGTTTTTTTTTTATAATTTAATTTCCGAATTATAATATAGATTTAAAATTTTTCAAACGAATCTGGAGTCAGAGAAATAAAAATAAAAGTTAAAAATAATAAAGTTCATATTTAGAATAAATCACAAATTAATAAAAACACAAATAATTAATTAAATTATAAATTAACATAATAATTTAAGTTATAATTTAATTAACTTTTCAAAAATATATAGATTAAAAATTATAAATCTGTGAAATGTAAAAAAATAACGTAAGAAATTATGTTTTAATATTGTTTTCATTTATAAGACTAAAAAAATAAAAGATTACTTACAATTTAAATTAGTATGCTTTATTTCGTGCTCAGCATGTAATGCATACATGCCGTAGCCCTCCGGTAATGCCAACCCCAAAGAAAATGGTGTACCTTCAATTTGCTTGTAAAAATATTTATTGTGCCTAATCGTGACCCTCTTCTGAAAAATTGAAAAAAAAAATACATATTTTAATTCTAAAAAAAAGCAAAATTTAAATGAAATTAATTTTGAATTTATTTCAACAAAATTAATTGTCTTTTGAAAAATAAATATAAATTTATTTAATTAAAACACTTACCATATCATCATAATGAACTTTCACAGAGAAAGCTGTCTCTCCTTCTTTCTGATCCACCATTTCGTGTCTCAGCTGCAAAAAAAATTATTATTTTCCCTTATATTTCAACAGAAATGTAAAATGAAACTTTTTTTTATCTAGTAAAATTTTATAATTTCTTAAATTTTTTTTGGCAATTTATTAGGGCAGGAAAGATATATCAAAAACAACTTTAATTTAATTTAATTATCTTTAACTTGAATTTAAATAATTCTTTGAAATTTTTTTTTATATAACTTACGTCCAGAAGGAGAGAATCATTCAAGTGATGCGAGGGTCCATCATATTCAGTCAATTCGACTTCTGATAAATCCACACCAATATATTTAGGTTTCAACGTCTCTTCATACTGAAAGAAATTAATTTGATGATTTAGAAAATTGTAAAAGGCGTTTTTAAATAAAATATAACAAGTAAACGATATTTTTAATTATTAATTTATATACAAAATACTCACGTCGACATTTCCTGGCTGCAAAAAATAAAAAACGTTAGATTTTTGTTTTCCATTTAAAAAAATTGTAATATATACGTCATATAAATAAAATTTTATTCTGTAAATAATATTTCATTTATAAAACTTTGCAAAAAATGATATAATAAAAATTTTCTCAACTTACCATTGGCCTTAAATCAGGATGATAAAGAACACGACCATTGTTATCGACTATGAAAGAATAACCATTTACTCCCAACTGTAATGAATTAATTTTTTTTTTTTTTTATCATTAACGTTTTAATTATTTTCATATATTTAGAAAGTTTAAGAAATTTATATTGTATAAATTACCTTATATGGTGGAATAAGCTTTTGTATTTCCTCAACAGGCACATCAGTTCCAACAATACCCAATAAATTTGCTGTTTTTTCCTATAAATTGAATTAATTTAAAGATATAATAAATAGAAAATAAATAATATTCTCTTTGAAGAAAAATGCTTTTAAAATTAATTTGATAATTACAGAATGATTTCGTCGATCTAGAATAGGAGCAGTTACTGACACCATTAATTGACCCTGATATTCAGCACCAAATCTGCTACTCTGTAAATAATTAATTTTATAGATTTAATATTGAAATATTTTTATTTCACAGCAAATTATAATATCTTTCAAGTATTATTTATAGTTGATTTTTCCAGATTTTCCAGGACAAAAAAAACAGATTTTTTTTCTGGTTATTTTTAAAAACTTTTTCTTAGAACAGGGAAGAAAAAAAACGAATGTATTGTTAAATTATGTTTTACTTCGAAGCTCAAAATTGATTAAATATTTTATTTAAAGCTTTCAAGTTTTCAGAATAATATTTTTTTGAATAATTGAATTAAAAAAAAATTTTAATTGCTAAATGATTAAAATGTTTAATTTAATGAATTTATTTATTTGAGGAGCAATTTTTTGCAAAATTCGATAAATTTATTTTTCAAAAAAGTAGAAATAAACGCAGATTTAACATATTAAAGACCTTACTAATTGGTCTGTCACTGTTATTGTAATTTTTACATAAATATTTAAAGCAATTTTATCGAGACAATTATTGTTTTAAATTCTTTAAATTTCAATGAGAAATTTATTTAAATTCATTTTTAATCAAAATTCGGTAAAATATGTATTAAGTAGAAAAAATGAAAATTGCAATGAAATTAAAGGCGCAAAAAAAAAGTTTAATTAAATTTTAGAAAAAATTGATAAAAAATTTTTGAACTGAAACAATATTGATTTATATTATTGAAAATAATTAATTTGGCGAAGAATTTTAGATAATTTAAAAAAAATGGAGTTTTTGAAGAATTAAATATATTTAAGATTTTTAGAAATTGTAATTGAATTTCAAGAGATTTTAAATTAAAATTTTTATAAAATTCCTGATAATTTTTTTTTTTTTTTTTTTACAAATTCTCGACAATAATTAAAGATTAAAAAAAATTTTAATTGAATAATACAAAAATATTTTAAATAATTGAATTTTAGAAGAACATTGTTAAAATTATTAAAAATAATTAACTTGTCAAAGAATTTTAAATAGAAATTTAAAAAAATAATTTAATTTTAGAAGAGGTACAACTAGATTTTTAGAATAATTACATAATCAAATTTCAGATTTTGAATTGTAAATTCGAATTTTCGAATCGATGATTTTTTTAAAAAGAATTTTAAGCAATAATTGAATTTTTGAGAATTTTCAATTGGAAAATATTTTAAATAATTTAAATTTTCAAATAATTTTATTAAAATTATTGAAAATAATTAAATAGGTAATAAAATAATTAAAATAATAATAATATAATAATAATTCAAATAATTAAATTTAATTAATTTGGCAGACTTTTTTTTAAGATTCAAATTTTCAAAATAATTGGATTTTGGAAAAGCTACAGTTTGTTTTAAAAAAGTTATAGATTATTTTTTGATTTAATAAATTTTTAATTCCATTTGTAAAATAAATCGAAAAAATCGCCTTTTATTAAGAAAATAAGTCAGAAAAAAGTTTAAAAAAAGTCGTACAATCCGAGGCTTGTAGTAGTAATTTGAATATTATTATTATTATTATTATTATTTGATATTAACAACAACCAAATGATAAATTTGCAAAATATAAATAAAAATCTTTAAAAATTATTGTTTTAAATATCGAATTGTGAAAAAAATTTGACAATTGTATAGAAACAATTGTTTATTATATTTAATAATTCCAATAGTAAGAAGGCAATAAGAAGAAAAAAAAACAGATGAATCGAAACAAGTAGAAGTTTTTCAATTTTAAAACTAAGTTTCCAAAAAAGTTTCTAGCAAATTCAAATTTCAAATAGAAAAGAGACAAAGTATTTGAATAACATACTTTCCCTCCAACGTAGACTGGTGTCCAGTGGATAGGATGATCATGCTGATATAATACCATTGGTCGAGATAGGACTTTTACATATTCAAAAACTTTTGAATTAATTTCCTCTCTGTTAGTTATTCTTGCGTAAAATCCTGAAAATTAGAATTACTATTTAACTTTCATTTATCTATTTAAAAAATAATTACATTACTCGAAAAAAGATGTGAAAATTTTAACGAATTATTTTATTATCTTTGAATAGTAGATAAAAAATAGATGAAAATTGAGAATAATACTATTTATTTAAGTTATCATACCTTTGTTGTTGCAAGCTAAATTGTAAAGATCAGGACTCTTGTTTCCTCCGATTAAATAAGAAAAAATTCTCACTGGTTTATGTGGTTCATTAAATTTTTTTATCAAATCAGCCGATGGTGCTTCAGTATTTGAAGTGACCAACATAATTGCCTGATTACATTGTGATCCTTGGCCAGATTTATTATATCTATTAAGTAATTCAAATGCTGCGCTAAAAGCAGCTGTCACATTAACCGGTGAATCGGCTTTTAATGAATTCATTGTTACTTTTAGATCTTTTATATTCTCAGGATTTGCTGGTACTAAACTGTCTTTAAAGCAACGAATAATTTCCTCTGCATTCTCACCGTATTTATAAATATTCACATAATCAACTGGGCCAAGTGATTCTAAAATTGTTTTTGTTGTACTAATTGTTAAATCACGAATTTTACTCGATGATAAACTAGAGCCATCGACTAATATAACTAAATCCTTTGGACTCGTTGCACCTCCAATGAACCAATCAGATATACGAAAATCGTAAACATCGCGAACAGTTTCTGTATTTCTTGGCATTGACACAGTGTCTATTGGTGGCCAGGATATTGCTAATTCAATGATAAATAACAAAATAATTAGTTTAAATATTAAAAAAAAATTGGACGCATGAATTTTCCATGAAAAATCATTAATTAGAATTTTTATTTTAAACTATTTTATTATAAAAAAAATTATTATTTACACGAATTTTCAATTTTCGAATTGAAATTTGACGGATTTACTTTTTATACGAATTTTTACATAACAAAATTTTTAGTTATCCAATTCTTGTTTAACAGAATTTTTAATTTACAGTCATTTACTTTACATGACTTTTTATTTACAACAATTTTAATTTAAGCGAATTTTAATTTAACAGAATTCTCATTCAATCGAATTTTTAAATGACAAAATTTCCAATTCACCGAATTTTAATTTTTCCGAATTTTTTTTGTTACGACTTTTTAATCGATAGAATTTTTAGGACGTCAAATTTTTATTTGTCCCAAAATTCAGGCCTCGGATCAACTATAAAGCTAAAAAAAAAGTCGTTTTAGTCGATTTACATTGAAAAAAAATATATTATCAAAATTTATTTCAAAAATTTTAGATTCGAACTAAGATGTAAATTTTTTTAAATTTTAATTAAGACAAATTTAAAAAAAAATTCTGAAAACAATTCAATTTTAGAGTTTTTATTAAAAACTTTTTCAAATAATTAAATTTTTGAAGAATATTATAAAAATTATTTAAAATCATTAAATTTTGGATCAGTTACAGTTGATATTTTTAGAAATAATAAAATTTTAAAAGATTTTAAATTGAAATTTTTGGTGAATTCTGTTGATGAAAAATATATTAGAAATATCAGACAAAAATATTGAATTTAAAAATTTTTTAATTAAAAAATGCTTTCACGCAATTAAATTTTCAAAGAATATTATAAAAATCATTTAAAATATATTTCGGAAGAATTATAGTTAAATTATTAAATTTTAAAAAATTTTATAAATAATTCAATTTTAGAAGGTAATTTTTATTTATTTATTTTTTAAATTGAAATTTTTAGTAATTTTATTTTTAATCTGCATTGTATACTAAAAAAGAAGTATTTTGTTTAAAAATTTTGTTAAAAAAAAAAGTGGAAAAAAGTCGTATTTTCGAAAAAAAGTAAGAAAATGTCGAAAAAGTCATATAATAATCCGAGGCCTGGAAATTACAAATGTCCGAACAAACAATGGACAGAAAAATTTCAGAGCAATTTTTAAAATTGACCAATAAGAAATTATCAAGAAAATCGTGATTGGTCAATTTTAAAAATTTGCGCCGAAATCTTTTTGTCGATTGTTTGTGTTCGGGTATTTACAATTTCGGACAAATAAAAATTCGACGTTCTAAAAATTCTATCAATTAAAAAGTTGTACAATTAAAAATTCGGTGAATTGAAATTTTTGCCATTTAAAAATTCGTGTCACATAAAATTCGATTGAATAAAAATTTATTTAAATTAAAATTCTTTTAAATAAAAAATCAATTAAAGAAAATGACTGTAAAATAAAAATTCGTATAAAAAGAAAGTCTGTCAAATTTTAATTTGAAAACTGAAAATTTATCTAAAAAATAATTAAAAATTCTAATTTATAATTTTTATGGGAAATTCATGCACCACAAAAAAATTAATTTTAAAAGAAAATAAAAAGAAATTTCTTTTTTCTTACCAGGAAATCTCCTTAGGAATCCCGCGGTAGCTCCATAATATTGCCAAGAAAGAGTTGGATCACTTTCGTAGTTATTAACGAAAATAGGATTTAAATGTTCACTCCATTGAATCGCTGCTGCTACTTCAGGATCTTTAATAATAAAAATATTAAATAATAATTATAATATAATAATAATAATAATAATAATAATGTTAATAAATTAAAAAAACAAAATTTAATAATTTTGAAAAAAAAAATGTTTAATTTTCCAACACGTTTAAAAACTAATTAAAATACTTATTAAAAATGAAAGAATATAATTTAAGAATCTCTTTTCAAATATAGAAAAAGATTGGATTCAATGCTTGTTAAAATTTTACAAAAAAAATTCTTTAAAGATCTTTACTAATTCACCAAAGGTCTGCAAGTAACTCGTAGAAAATTTCTTAAACTTCTATAATGACTCTTGAAATAGTTTGTGCAGTGTCAAAGGACTGATCAAAATCCAATAAAACCCTCCAACTTTTTTAATTTCAAGAAAAGCTTTAAAGTTTCACCGAATTCTCTGTTAAGGAAGAATTTCACTAACGTCAATAGTTGCCACATTGCCTTCACTAAACCGACACACAAAATATATACTTTTCTCCTTGAGATATTTTTATACTATACCTATATTATTTTTTTTTAAATTTTTGTTGAATTTATTTTCATATTTAATTTTATTGATTTATTTTATTTATAATTAATTTTCAATTTGATCGTCGGTCATGTAAATAAAATCAATAAAAATTTGAGAAAATAGTTTAAAAATAAAAATATCGTAAAATTTTTTCTTAATAATAAAAATGAAATACATATTATTAAAAAAAGGGGCGCAGAAATTTCCTATAAAAATTAGTTAAAATTTTCATTTTAAAGAATTTTATTAGATTTCTGAAAATTGAAACAGCTGTAGTTTTTTTTTTAATTTCTGAGAACAATTTCATTTTAGAGTTTTTATTAATATTATTTTTAAATAATTGGATTTTTTTAACAGAAATATTAGAATTATTAAAAATAATTGGATTTTGAAAGAATTACAGTTGAAATTTTTATTACAAAAAAAAAAACAAAATAAATTGTAGAAGATTTTAAATTGAAATTTTTGTTATGTAATTGAATTTCAAGTGATTTTGAATTGAAATTTTTGGTAATTTTTTTTTTTAATTTTAAACAATTATTGAATTTTATAAAATTTTTAATTGAAAAATAGTTCAAGACAATTGAATTTATCAAGAATTTAATTTAAAATTATTCAAAACAATTAATTTAGAGAAGAATTTTAGTACAAAATTTGTTAAATAATTTAAATAAAGAAGATTTTAAGAAAAAAAAAACAAAAACGTATTTTTAAAAATTTTGTTAAAAAAAATGTCGAAAAAGTCATTACTTATTAAAATACCTCGAGAAAAGTTGTATTATCGAAAAAAAAATCGGAAAAATTCATATAATTCAAGGCCTGACAAATCATGAAATTATTTAACAAATAATTGTGATTGGTTAATTTTTCAAAATCGTGCTAAATTTTTTTTTTCGATTGTTTCGTCGTCCATTTGCCATTTCGGACAAATGGAAATTCGGCGTTTTAAAAATTCTACCAAATAAAAATTTAGACAAATGAAAATTTTCGTTAATTGTAAATTTTAGTATTTGAAAAATTCAAATCTCTTGAAATTCCGTTAAATGACAATTCTGCTAAATTATTATTTTAAGTAAATTAGAATTTTTCTCAATTAAAAAGTTGTGTAAAGAGAAATTAGCTGTAAAATAAAAATAGATATTGTCAAATGAAAAATTCGATAACTAAACAATTTTTTCTAATAAAATTCTTTAAAATGAAAATCCTAATAATTTTTTTTTATCGAAAATTCATACGTCCCAAAAAAATTCTTATTTGTAGATAAATTTTTTGTTTTGTTTTTTGTTTATATTGTAATATTAAAATCACCTGTGTCTTTGATTGCTGGGGGTAAAAGGACGGCTGATAGACTAGCATTGACTGCCAAGTGATCAAAGTGACGATTTGGAGTAAGAGACATTTCTCTAGCACCGGACGCCACCTTCCCATCTTCAGTGAATAGATTTAGTCGATGAGATGCATAATACTTCGGAGAGGCGTTTCCTTCCCTTGGAGCTGAGAGTGCAGCCTGCTCGGCACTCTCCATTAACCTCTGTAATGTTATTAAAAAGAGATTGCATAATACCTCGGCAGCTGGATGTAAATTTTAACGGGGGAAAAAAAATATCATTTTCACACTTTTAACCCTCAAAATTACTATATACACAACAAAATTTATCATGTACAGTGTTAAATGTCCCGTGCAAAAATTATATATTTTTTTAATCCTTCCATTAGATCTACAACGAAAAAAAAAAATTATTTGATACAAATATTACTTGACTATTATCAAATAAATATTTACTTAAACCAATAAAATTTTTAACTTGAATTAAATATTTTCAATAAAATAAAATAAAATTTTTTATTTCAACCAATAATTACTGTATTTAAATCTATAATTTTTGTATATTTGAAAACCTCAATAATTATTTAATACAAGTAAATATTTATTTGATAATAGTCATTGAATTATTTATATAGTCTGCTTTTAAAAAAAAAATAATAAAAAAAAACAACAAAAGAAACGAAAATATAGAAATGAAATGAAAATGCGTTTCAATATATGTTTTACGAAATGAAGTAATTTTTAGCGAATGAAAATGTACGGTTCGAAGAACTTTGTCAGTCTGTGATTTTTCACAAAAATGTCGATATGAAATATTAAAGGGTGTGATAGTCCGGAAGATGAGAAAGATACAATGAATGAATGAATTGAAAGTGATCAGTGTGTAATAGTATTGACAACATACATATATGAGAGAATAGAATAATTTTTCTCTATCGATGAATTTAATATAATAATCATTCGGTGTTTATCGAACATTTTTTTAACTAATTTTACCAGTTGTTAATTCGAGTAATTTAAATTACGTTTAATAATAAAAAAATTATTTTAATTTTAATTCAAACGTTTTTCAGGTTTGTTGCTAAATAAATAAAATTATTACTAAAATACTGAGTACTAGTAAAAATTTTAGTAGTATTAAAATTAATAAATAAAAAATTAGAATTAAAAAAATTTTTTTTAAATTTAAAAAAAATAAATTTTAACTTTAATAATTTTGAAAAATTATTACCTCTCTGAAGTTGATTTCGACGCTTAGCGCCGAAAATTGTTTTTCGCAGAATCAAAAATTTTAAATTATTTTTTTTTCATTTTTCAATCTAAATAATATCTTGAAAAAATTTTTTTAACCCATGAAAAATAATTTTCAATGCTGAGCGTCGACGCCAACTTCATGGATATAAATTATTAACAATAAAATTATTTTAAAATAATATATTAATAGGAAAAAAGAATGTTTATTTAATAAAATTGAATTTTCAGTTTGGAAAAAAAATATTTACCATAACAGCGTTCATTTTGAAGTCCATTAAGTTTTTCACTTCGCTAGCCATTTCTCGTACAAGCATAAGGCCATCTTTTTTATTTACACTTGCCTTGTCTGGACCGTGACTAGCATAAGCCTGGTAAAAAAAAATATATATATATTAATTTAATTCAAATTTTGTTTTATTAATGTACAAACACACTTTTTTATATATATATATATTTAGTTCATGTGCGTCTATCTACTTTAAGGGCTAACAGATGTTGATCCACAAAAATCAACCGTTATCCTCTGGTTGTGTTTATAGCGTCGGATCAATGTCGTTACATAACAGTAAATAGAAAAAAAAAGTTCACATACAAAATCGAGGACTTTTTTTTTGTGAAAACTTTCGAGCTTTGTTTTAAATCAGAGATTCGAACTAAACTTTCGTTTCATTTCTATACTGAGAGAGTAGAAAAATCCGCGAACTTTCCAAACACAAAACATTTATTTTTTTATATACATATATATTTCACGTAAAGTGATCAGGAGGGAGAAAAAACGTTTCTTTCTGCAATCGTTCTCATAGTTAAATAATTTTTTTTTCAATTACATAATATGAAATATAAAATTTTTTTTTATATTAATTTCGATAGTTTTTTTTTGACGCATTTTCAATTGGAAAAATTAAAAAAAAAATTACTCTCTAAATCTGAATTAGTAAAAATGTTCACTAATTTGAATTAGTAACTCACTTTTTGCTTCTGAATTAGTAAAATTTTACTAATTATTAGTATCTTTTACTAATTATTAGTATCTTTTACTAACAATTAGTAAAATTTAACTTATTCTAAAGCAAAATGTCATTAATTTAAATTAGTGAACATTTATACTAATTTAGATTTAGAGAGTAAAGAAAAAAGGTTTGACCAAAAAATAAAAGAGAGTCAAAAATAAATTTTACTTTTATTCGATGAACAGGATTCGAAGCGTCTTTGATATTGAAAATTAACAAAAACTGAAGTACACAACGTTTATAATAAACAATTCTTAAAGAAATAATTTATTAAAATTGAAAAATTGTATAATTTTTTGCCTAAAAAATATTTCTTGTGTGGTTTTCATTAATCAACAAATTATAGAAAAATATTTTTTTTGCCTACTTCAGTTTCGTGAAAAATTATGTACTTTACGTACCAAAAAAGAAAAAAATTAGTAACTAATTTACGTACAAAAATTTCTAGTTTTGATTTTAAATCTACAAATGAAATATATAATATAGGTATAGATACTTTTTAGATTTTAAATAAGTAAAAATTATAATTAATATAAAAGAAAAATTAAAAAATTTTGAATTATTATTGAAAACTTATTTTTGTGTTAGATTTTTTAAAATTTTTTATTAAACCTCAAAAAAGAATTTTTAATTGAAATTTTTTTTTGAAATTTTTTTTTTGGTAATTATTTAACTCAACAATTTTCTATGAATTGAGCTTAAACAATTTAAAAAAAAAATTATTTTGTACATGTTTTTTTAATTATTATTATTTTATTCATTTTACACAAATTTATCGTTTTCGAAAAATCCTACGTTACAAGTTATTTAAAAATCTGCAAATTATTATTATTATTATTATTATTTAGAGTATTATATTTAGAGTCTTTCAAAATTAAAGAGAAAACAATGTTCAGATTATTTGATAAAAACGAAAATTTCCTTTTTTTGTGGTACTTTTTTTAAAAATGTTTTTCGAAATTATTGCTATTTGGAGTTAAAAAAAAATTTTAAATATCCAATCATAAAATTTTTTTGAAATTTGACTAGAATGGATTCTATAGAGATTTACTTATAATAATTTTTATAGAAGCGTAAATTTTTTAAATTATTGAATTAGACAAATTTTCAAGATTTGAATTCATGTTTTTTTTTAAATTCTAACCCAAAAATAAATTTTTCAAAAATTATTAAAAATGAAATTTTTTATCTTTTTACTTTAATATTTGATATTGTAAAATAATCTTGCTTTATCATATAAAACAAAGAAATGAAAAAATAAATCAATTTTTCCTATTTTTCATTTAAAAAACAGAAATAAATCTCATTTTTAAATATAAAAGTAAAAAAAAAAAAAAAGTTGAGAAATCGAATATTTTCATTTTTAGTCCAAATTACGTAATTTTCAGATTTTCTGTTCAAATTTCAGAGTTTTACAAACTCATTTAAAAATTAGGTAATTTTTCTTAATTTATGTTATTTTTACTCACGTTTAGCTTTCGTTTGATAAAATAAAAAATCTCATTATTGACTATTTATTCGATAGTTCGAAAAATTATAAATTTATATTGAAAAAAAATTTTTAATTTTTATAAAAAAAACACGTTATCCTTTTACATTTAATTAAAATATATATGAAAAAAAGTGTGTCTCTGGAATAGAATTTTCCAATAACTCGTAAAAATATGTATTTTGATATGTTTTCTTACCCGTTTTATTTCCGTAATTTTGGTGACTTGTTTTCCATACTCCCAAAGGTCTACACCAAACCTCATGGCCCAATTTTTCACTCTGAAAAGATTTTTACTTTTTGCTAACAAGTTTTTTTTTTAAACAATATAATAATTATACATATCATACACTGAAAAAAAATTCAAATAATCAGTTATTTTTCTATTATTAAATAAATATTTACTTGTATCAAATAATTATTATTCAAAATTGTATTTGTTTCAAATACAAAAATTATTAAAATACAGTTTTTATTTAATTCAAACAAAAATTATTTATTTCAAATAAATATTTATTCGATAATAGTAAAGTAACCGATTATTTGAATTAAATAAATTTTTTTTTAATATAATAACCTTGCTAAAATTATAATTATTTTCCTAAAATAAATTTCTATTTAAAACATTGATTTTCTCTTCTATATATATAGAAGTTGTATATCCCAAGTTTTAATTGCAGTTAATTAAAATTTTCGCAATACAATTATAACCTTCAACTTGGTTAGGATTGAAGAAACTTTTAAGTCTCCTTGTCCAAAGCTAATAAGCCTCTTAGAAATTGTGGTTTAAGTGTTTCTTAAACATGAAGATATGATATTCCACGAGCACAAGGACGCGAAATTTTTTTTTTTAATAAGAAACTTTAATTTGACATTGAAATATTTATTTTATTCGATGTTTTAAAAATATAAATTTTTTTTTCATTGCTATAGAAAGTATAGAGTAATTGATAAAATTGAATTGAAATTTAAAAAAGAGAGACAAACAATTAGATTAAATTTCCATGGCGAATAAATAGCATTTGAATATGATTTCAAATGTTTTATTTTATATTATGCGAAAATATGTAGGTTATAGTCAGAAGGACGAAATCAAAGTTAAAAACAAAAATAATTGTTGTTTTCAAACAATAGACTGACTGAATGTAAAGTTATAATACACTGCATGTGATATCAGAGTTTCAAGTTAATAATTTTATGATAGGAAATTATAATATTTCTTAATATAATATAGGTGATAATAAAAATTATTTTTTCACTTTATTCTTTTACAAATTTTACTTTTCATCCTGATTTAATATTTATATTAGTTTTTTACATGATTTATTTTTAATACAATTAAATTGTGAAATTTCGAAAAGGGCTCAACTTGAAAAAGCGTAAGTATCATTTTCGCATAACAACCGATAGTGAAAATGACTCTTATGGTTTTCATCCCTTTTCGAAATTCATGCGAGGTTTACTTTTATATGTTTTATTTTATTTTTAAACACATTTTTTTTTGTATTTACATGTAGTGTCTATACTAAAATATACCCATTGCCAAGAATAATCGTACACTGAGAGAGTCTCAGTTTTTATTGCGACTATTCAACCCTCCTTGTTTCATTATTGGCCTCAGGCCAAAAAGTTTGCGTTGAATCAATGAAGTATTACATTGCCAACGATATTTATTGATTTAATCAGTGTGTTATTTTTATCATTTTAAGAAAAAAAAAAAAAAAAAAAAAAAAATTCTTGCCGGAAATTGAAAAAATAGCCCTTTAGGAAAAACTATATTATATACGACTCTCTCAATATACACTGTATGCTACAAATCATCTTCAAGATATTCATCCCTCTTTGACAATATATTTTTCTAAATCGAAAATCGATTTAAAAACAGCAAATAAGAAAAAATTTATGAATAAATAATTATTTCTTTTTAGTGGGGAGAAAATTGAAATTCAAATTTTTTCAAAATTCGCAAAAACTAATAAATCTAGATTTTTCCTTATTATTTTTTTTTTTATTTTTTTAAAAAATAAATGATTTTTATAAATTTTCGTTGTCGAATCCAACTTTTTTTAAAAAATTTGCAAAACCGATTAAAAAATGATTAAAACTAAATTTTCCCTACTATTTTAAATGAATTTTATTGAAAAATAACAAATTTTTTAAAATTATTTCTATGTGTATAATTTCAAAAACTGTTTTATATTATTAAAAATATTTTCTAGGATATTTAAATATTTAGCGACAAATATTTAAAATATATAAATATTATTTGAGGAGCAAATTTTCAAAACCTGATAAATCCATATTTTCTTATTTCGAGAAATTGAAACAAATGACTTTGCTCACATAACCACTGCAGTTTACTTTTAAAATATAAAATTTGTAATAGTTTAATTCAATAACAATGTTTTTATATTCAAGACGTTCTGTTTTTAATTAAACTTTATCATAATTTAATGATTTACAGGTATTGGTGATTTTTTCTAATAAAAAACATAAAAATTATAACTCATCTTGGTTAAGTCCAAAAGTTTTTGAATTTAAAATTCGTTGTTAAGAAATTTTTTTTCTTAAATTTAACAGCGACAGGAAGATTTGTGAGGTCCTTAAAATATTAAATTTATGTTTATCTCCATTTTTTTGAAAAATGGATTTATCAGATTTTGAAAATTTACTCCTCATTTATTATTTATGCACTGAAAAAATGTATATTTGGTTTAAATAATAAGTTATTTGGCTAATATCAAATAAATATTTTTTTTTTATCAAAGAATTTTTATTATTTGAATATAAAATTTTTTGTAAAAATTTTTTTTTTCACTGATTTTATCATATAAAGTGTAGAAAATGTAGAATTCAAAGAGCTTTTTGATATACCTAAAGTATATTTACAAACTCACTCACAGACAAGAGGTTTAAACGGAAAAAGCCAATTTGTATGTAACTGAATTTGACATTACGAGGAAAAGGGTTTTCAAAATAGAGTAAACTATATATATACATATATATATATATATATATATATATATAATTATATCTGAATCACCTTAAAGTAAAAAAAAACTTTAAATGACATTTTATCGGAATTTTTTAAAGATTTAGTTATAAAATAAATTTTAAATAAAAGATTTGGATTAAAATTTATAATACATAAGTTTAAAATTAAAAAACACTTTGATTATAATATTAATTTAAAAATGTATAGTATGAAAACAGTGAACGACACCCTTTAATAAAATAAAAAATATTTAAACTACTATTTAAGTAACATGATATTTATTAATATAATCTCAAATTTTATTATTCAGATTTAATGTACAAAAAAGTTATTTTTAAAATATAATTATTTAACAATTTCTTCATTATTTATAAAATTTGTAATCACTAAAGCAAATTTTTTGAGGTTATACACGGAAAAAAATCTTGTTAGAATATTTAATATTTTGACACTCATATTTAGTATATTAAGTTACAATTGCGGAAGACTTTGCAGATTTTGGGGTATTTATAGATTTTATTACTAATTTTTAAGAATGCCTAAAATAAAAATAATAAAGTTTAATATATTTAGAAACAAAAATTAGAATAGTTTTTGCGAAATTCATAATTAAGTCGCCGGAAAGTAAAACCACACATAAAATTCTGACGGCCATGTTAATTCAATATGGGAGTCAGATTTTTATGTGTGGTTTTACTTTCCGGCGACTAAATTGTATTATGAAAACTCCAAATGTTAAATTCTAATACGCCCTGTAACAAGTATTAGAATAAAATATTTCATTTTCTGTATTTAGAATTCCGTTAACTGGTATAATCATTTTACATTTTTATATAGTCGATAAGAAAGTGGATTGGTGTTAAATCCTTATATTTACATATAATACTAATAGAAACTTTTTCTTTCAAAAAATGATAGAAAAATATCAAAAATCACCCAAGTTTGACGAAGTTAAGCGAGTGAGTCCGATCACTAACGAGTAGTCACGAAAAAAAAAAATGTCAGAGAAAGGTCAGGGAATTTTTTTCTTTAAGCCTAGCTGGACATCCTGATTTTAAAATAATTTTCAATACTGCAATATGAATTAAAAACAATTTTAATTAATATATATTTAATAATAAAATACTTCATTATGCTCATACACTGAAAAAAGGGTTTGGTATTGACAACCAAACATTTGGTTGGTATTTAAGCAACCAAAATTTTTTTATTGAATCAACAAAATTTTTGTTGTCCCAATCAAACTTTATTTAGGACAACAAAAATCCTTTTTTTCTAATTTTGGTTGTGTCAAACAAATTTTGATTGAGACAATTAAAATCTTGTTGATTCAACAAAAAAATTTTGGTTGCTTAAATACCAACCAAACGACGTTTGGTTGTCAATACCAAATCCTTTTTTCAGTGTAATTTTTATATAATTTTTATTTCTGCAATATAGACTAGAAAAAGTTTTGATAAATAATTGTTTTTAATTATTCTATATTTCTTTTTCTAAATATAATTATAGAATATTTGTTATAAGTTTGCTTCTATAATTAAATTAAATGATTTTTTTATGATAAAAATTGTTCTTTGAAAGGTAATAAAATATTTTATTATTTCTTAATAAATAATTATTTTTATTTTTAAATATTTAACAATGTAATATTAAGTTTCTCACAAGTGCAGAAAAATCTGTCTATTTAGTATATAAAGAAGTTCGGAATTTTTCATTTCAGCGTGAATTATGTATCTATATGCGTTGCGTTATTCTGTGTTTATGTATGCGTATTGTAGTTAGGATGTGTTAGGAATAATTTTAAGCCAATCAAAACGTACCAGTTATGTGTATGTATTAAGAAAGACTCCCACTACCCTCGAATAGAAAAGGAGAGAAAATCTTAGAAAAGAGCCATTGGTGATTCCGACGTTCTTCTTTTTTTCACGGCTCCTTCTTTTTCGTATAGTTTTAGCAAATATTGAAACGTGCTTTATTTTATAACATCACTCCTACTTTTTCGTATAGTTTTAGCAAATTACGAAATGTTGGTTCTGATTTTTCGTATAAATTTAGTAAATAACAATGTGCTAGACTGCTTACTTCCTATACTTACTGTTTTTTCCTATAGTTTTTTCAATATTCGAAAATTGTAGATTTGAATTAAGAAATAATAATTTCAGTTTTCGTAAAATGTTTCCAGTTAAAGGAATTCGTAAAACTATACCTACTTTTATTATCAAACCAGAATGTTTCGCAATTGAAAAACAAAAATATTAAAATTTCTATTCAGATTTATTAAATATTATAACAAGATTTCTTTACGTGTAGTTTTCTAGAAAGTCAAATATTGAGGAAAATATAAACATATAAAATTTTGTGTCAACTGTAACAGTTTCTAAATATTGTATTCCTTACAATGAAACGAGTAGATATGCAAATTAGGCAAGAGCAAGACATTTTTATATGTTATTTTCATGGACAGAAGAGAGAAGATGATTGCGTTAAATTTTTAGACGAAAAGGGTCTTATGCTATTTTCCTCAAACAGAAGAGGAAAAAAGATTTCAAACAAAGACATTCTTATATTATTTCTTTGTAATAGATGAAGAAAGAAAAGCGTTAAATTTTTGCGTTAGATAACAGAGATATAATCTTAGGCCCTTTCCAGAATGGAGCCAAACGCAGCGCAGACGCGACGCAGCGCAATGCTAACCAAATGGGGATGCGTCGCGTCTGCGTTGCGTTTGGCTCCATCCTGGAGAGGGCCTTATGTTAATTTTTTTTTAAATAGAGTAAGATACGCAATCCCATTTATCGCTATACCTGAGTAATGAGAGAGAGAGAGAGAGAGACTTCGGCTTACCCTCTTGTGATTGTTCCGCAATACCAGAGTTTTTTGGTGTCGACCGTCATTAAAAAGGATCTATTGTTTTCTAGAATTTTATTGAACGTTGATCTAAAAATTTTTCATTTTAAGTTTTATATTAACGTACGATTAACTAAGTAAAGAAATAAAAATGTTAATATGTTAGAATTGAAAAATTTATTTAACCCTTTAAGGTGCAAATTAACTATCGTAATAATAATTCCTCATTATATATCATTTTTAAAGTTTTTGGGATGCTGATTACGAATATCATGTTCGTTTTTAAAAATCCAAAATGGCGGATTTAATATGGCGGCCCAAAATTTAAAAATTCATCGAATTCGTTTAAAACAGCTTCCAAAGGGGTTTTCGGGTGTCGCTGATTACAAATATCATATGTCTGTTTTTGCAAATTCAAAATGGCGGGTGAAATTTAAAAAATTTACCAGAGCAGTTTGAATCTCATTAAATTACTCAGGGGTTTTCGAGAACGCTGATTATGAATATAATGTTAGATTTAATTTTTTTAATTTTGTATTAAACCAAGTCCACTTCTGGGCCGAAAGGCTGAAGCTTAATTAATAAATATAATGTTAGATTTTAATAATTCAAAAAAGGCGGATCTAATATACCACGACGAAAAAAATTTAATTAGTTTGGAATTTCTCGAAAGTTGTTATTTGAGGATTTTCGGCATTGCTAGTATTAATTAATTTGACTAGTAATATTTAATTCAATATTATTATTTTTATAGTTATTATCGTTTTTAATAGCAGGTGTGTGGATCACTATCAAGGTGTCAGTCATTGTACCCTAATAAAGCTATCGTAACGTTGTGATAATAAATATTACTCAAAACAAAAATTTTAATGAATTTCAATTTGAATTTTCAATTCAGTTTTACATTTTATTTTAGACCTAAAATATTACAATTATAGGGCATTTAGTGATTTAGTTGAAGAAAAATACATACTATGTAAGTTAAACAGCACCTATACAGGTATATATATATAGATATACACATGAAAAATTTAATAGAGCAATTTGATTTAATGAACGATGTAAAGAAAATATGAAGTGTATATTTCAGTCAGGCGTATATATATATATACATTAATTATATAAAGTAAGAGGTTTAATATTTAATTGAAATCGATTATCGTTTATCTTAAATTATACTTACTTAATTGACTAAGAAAAACGTGGACAGAAAAGAATAAGATTTCATTTCTCCTCAGTATATATATATGTATACATATTATATAGTGTCGGTCTGACTATTGAAATTACTTTCTACTTGAAACAGGGCCGTATATATATAGTTAAAGTTGAAAATGAACTAAACTGGAACGAAACAATTAATTGACACATATATGTATATATATATATATACATAGAATTAATTTAACTGAAATAAAATCAGTGAATAACAATTTAATTGTTCTGTAAAGTGAGATTGTTTTAAATTAAATATTTAATTACTTAATTTACATTAATTAGATACATAAATTTTATTATTATAATAAGTCACATAAAATATTTATTAAATTTAACATTAATGGAAATTTAATATTTACTACAATTATAACAGTTATAAATAATGTTTATTATTATTATTATTATTATTATTATTATTAGCATTACTATTATTATTATTATTATTATATTATTATTATTAGTAGCATTACTACGTATTACTATTATTATTATTATTTAAATATTTCTTTTTTTTCCAGTTTCAAGCCAGGGATGCAGCAAACAATTTTTATTATTCGAATAATTTTGTGTACTTTTATAAAAAAAAAAAATGTGCCTGAAATTCTGAACGTTTAAATGATATAATAATTGAACAATTATTTAATTGTAGAAATAAGTGAAAATTTTATTAAAGAAATAAATAAAAATATTTTTATTTTTCATTATAAAAATATTCATACATTGCGAATTACACTCTATTAAAAAATTTATAAATTTAAAACACTGTCTATTATTTTCAATGTCAATAATTATAATTTTCAGATTAAAATAAATTTTTTAAAAGCAATGAATTTTTCTTATATATAGAGAAAATTCTAGTTTTGCAAATTGATATAGAAACTTGTGTGTGAAAAGCTCCCACTGTCGTTTCCCGTTTGTACGTCTCTTGCATAAAATCTGTAACCTATTTTCTTGTACTCGAAAATTTGCTTCAAAAGAAGTAAAATATATATAACTTTCACAGTTTGCAGGGGAAAATATATTGTTATTCAATATTTAGTGTTATTTACTTTCAGTTGTACAACGATTTTTTTTTTTTTTTTTTGAAAAAAATAATTTTCGAATTTTTATCAATGAAAATTAGAATAACGTTTATAATTAACGATTTGAAACGAAAAAAAAATAGTTTTATATATATAAAATTATTATAATTTTTTTGGCAAACGCTTCTCGATAAAAAAATTTTTGTAAAAGTAAAAAATAAATTATTTTCCGCGTATATTTTTTTTTATTTTTAATCGTTAATCATAAAATTCACCAACATAAATATATATTTGAAAATATTGTCTATATAGAAATTGTCACTAATTTTTAGTAAAATATTATATTTGATTTAGTAATATTTTTTCCCCCCTAAAGTTCTAGTTAAAAATGACTAAAAATTATAGTATAGAAATTTTCAAATTAGTGATCAAATTCTCACTAATTTGAATTTAGAGAGAGAAGGGAGACAATTTTTTTTTCTACGCAGCATGTAAAATTTATAATAATTTTTTGATTGCAATTATTGTGACAAATATGAAACATTTTGACGCCCCAATTTCTAAGGTGATAAACTGATGATAATGGTATAATGCGTAATTAGCATAATCACGCAATCACGAGCAGACACTCGACGTCGCGGGCACTCGACTAATTATCAGTAACTTCGCCAACCCTTAACTGCTTGTCGGATTTATTGCCGGTTGTAAATGTAAGAGCGAATGAGGCGCAAGAAATTGATAATCGAGAATGCAATCGACCATAAAAGTAAAGTAGAACGACTCAACTATAAAAAATAATCGATCGCTTATATATAATATACAAAAGGGAGTATACAAATATAGAGCTTGTTTCTTGGAATAAGCCGCATATTTTATGCCACACTTTTAATTTTACTATTAACTATATATACTCACTCATTGTGAGGGATATCCTCCTCTTGTTGCTTGCTCACTTCAACTCCAATTAACAGTAAAAATAAAAAATGTAAGCACAATCCATTCTTCATTGGTCTTCCCATTTTTGTTATTTTAATTCACCCGGCGACTGAAAGAAACTTCCTCCACCCCCTCTTCAATAACGACTTCCGGTCGCATCAATCTCAAACACGTTATTATCTCTCCCTCATCGATATCACCTCACACTTTTTTCTTCTCTTCTATTCACAATTTTTCACTCTAAAAAAAAAAAAGAAATTTGACTCTCCTGCCCTCTTCCTTTTTGTTTCACGTTTTCGACGAAAACTCGATTGCCATTTCGAAATCAGAGTTTTGAAATTGATATGACAAAAAAGGAAAAATTATTGTAGCAAACCGGCATATCCGTTCCAAAGGGGAGAGTATATATCGAAACGTTTTATCGCCTCGTTGAAGGGTGAATTTACGGCGCATGCAAAAGTATCTCACGCGCCGATTTCTTGGCGTTTAGGGGAATAGAAAAAAAAGAAGAAAAAAAAAGACAGCGTGAAAAGAAAAAAAAAGAAACAGAATAGTGTATCGATGCTGAGATCCTGCGCGTTGATCCGTCGATGTTTAATATTAGTGCCGCTTGGAACGCTAAAGCAGGTACACAGGTAATCCTTATTCCTTGACCATTAATTATATCATCACCTACACCCAAGGTCGCACTCACTCTCCTCTTTCACTATATATATATATATACTCACAGTCCCACACTACCGCCCCTTCTTTTTTTTTGCGCAAAAGTCACTTTCACAAAAAAACAAGTCCCACCCAAAAAGAGAATTAGGCCTGAGTAGAAATGAAATTTCTTCTTTTGGATAATGGTTATAATGTCATATTGGCACTAATAATTTTTGTCAAAATGAAACTTACAATATCGTCGATGATAGTATATACACAAAACTCTGCCCTGGAATTGAATCACCTCTCTTTCTTATTTTCGACGTGTTTTCCCAAGGAAATCGCGAGAAGAAAATATAACCATCTCGATTGCGAACCTCAGGGCGCGCGCGCATTACTCTTACTACGTCTACAAGCGACGGGCGTTTTAGGAATCGAGCTTTTCTAGAGGAGGGGTGGTATGTATGTGTCGGGTGAGGCTTCGGTGGAAGAGAAAGAGAGCGGGAGTAAGCCGGAGGTAGAATCACCCCCCTTTACTATACGGTGGAGTGGGGCTGAACTGAATTCAACCTCGCTCTCTCTCTCTCTCTCTCTCTCTCTTTGGCCGTGCAATCCCGGTTACATGCCGCGGCTGGAACAGAACGCAAACTCGGCATCATTGATTTAATACACACACAGGGAAGAAACTTACGTAAAATGGTATATAGTCTCTCTCTCCCTGGCGCGAGGTGACATCATCCTCCATTGGTGTGTTTGGGAGAACGTATATACGGTATGTACCGTACTAGCAGCTCTCGCTTTTAAAAAAGTTTACGTCCCACCACCACTGACTACCGCCGCCGCCGCCCGGCATCGTGACATACGCGCATTACGAACCAGGCGAGCAATCACTGAATCGATTGACACGCGAGATGAGAGAGAGAGAGAGACTTTCTTTATTTTCTTATTTTTCAGGGATCAAAATAAAAAAAAGAGGAAAGAAAAAAAATTGGGGAGAGGCTCCTTTTTGCATTTTGCTATTATATATGTATATATATATACTGAGCGCTTGCGAGGAAAACCAAACTCTCAACTCTTACTTTCGCTCTATATATGGAGGGATGAGAATGTCGTTACCTGAGAAAGGGAAGCCGACGGAGTTAATTGACTTTCGTCGGCGTCGCCCTCGAAAGCTCAGATTCACTTAGGACTCGACACCTATATCCTTGATTTAGTTATGACAATAGCAAATGAGAACAAGAATAAGAGGCAATTTTGTATTTTTATTCTGAGATTTATGTTTTATTGCAATGTATATATTAATTATATAAATATTATCTAAAAATCAATAATAACAACCCAACAAAAAATTGCAGTATTATACCAGAGTTGACTACTGGCGCAGTACTGGTTCAGTATTTGTTGCTGAGAATGGGCAGTCTGTACTGAACCAGTACTGGTATTTTCATTGTATCAGTACTGGTGCAGTACCACACTCCCAGTACTGGCAAACCAATACTGAGCCGATATTGAGCCAGTACTGGCTCAAAAAGATTTTCTTGACAGTAAACTTGGTTGTATCTTTTTCTATTGCAACGTTTTGATGCACATAAGTTATATCAAAAAGAGATCGTTTTGTGTATCATTTTTAGAAATGATACACGAAACGGTCTCATTTTTTGATGCAAAAAATTTAATCAATTTATATGAATCATGGCCGAATTGAATCGACTCAAAATTAAACGAATTTTTTTCAGATATTTTGGTAATAGTACAATTGCAGAGACCATTTCACTATTTAATTTGAAAATGAAAATAACAGAAAATCAAAGACAATGTGCAATTCGATAATTAAAAAGTGACAGCTTATAAACATAACCTAAAATGCATGAGAAAAAATTTGTCGATAAAATCAATATAGCCGACCTTTTTAGAAGGTAGATGGCAGCACTCATCTATTTTCTTTCTTTAAATTTTTTCTGAATCGTTTTCATAAAAAGCAAAACTGCCATCTACCTTCTAAAAAGCTCGGCTATATTGATTTTATCGACAAATTTTTTCTCATGCATTTTAGGTTATGTTTATAAGCTGTCACTTTTTAATTATCGAATTGCACATTGTCTTTGATTTTCTGTTATTTTCATTTTCAAATTAAATAGTGAAATGGTCTCTGCAATTGTACTATTACCAAAATATCTGAAAAAAATTCGTTTAATTTTGAGTCGATTCAATTCGGCCATGATTGATATAAATTGATTAAATTTTTTGCATCAAAAAATGAGACCGTATCGTGTATCATTTCTAAAAATGAAGAAGAGGATTAGAAATATTGTATCTCAATACCAGGAATACAAGCACTGTTTTGTTGAATGCATCAATTTGGCTTGCAACGTTTTGATGCACATATATGGCATCAAATTGATGCATATATTTTAATCATTTTTAAAAATGATGCAAAAATTTTAATCATTTTTTGATGCATGAATATAGCATCAAAGTGTTTCTGTCATGGTGGATGCGTACTTACTGGAAAGTTATCTGATTAATTTACTGCTTTAAATTCACTTAATTCACATAAAACCATTTTTTTTAGAAATTTTATTTGTGAAATAATCGAAAAATTACAATCAGTAAACTATGTTTAATCTTTTTAATAAAAAAAGGCTAATAGTATATATAAAGTGGAATACACTAACCTGCATTGACTGTTGTGACAGCTGATTGAAGGTGAGTTTACAATTTTTTAATAGATAATTAATATATCTGAAGTGATTATTAATATCACTATCACTCACAAAGTAAATGTTTATTAAATGTTATAATGTAATTATATCATTATTATTAGGTGCAAAATATATAGATAGATCTAAGGTTGTGTTTACAGGCCTGCATTCGAACTCTGCGTTTTGCGTAAAACAATGACTGTAACAAGGACGAAAGTATGTATCTATCTTTCTCTTTCCAACGTTTTGAGCAGGGATGAGTGCGTAAAATATGAGATGTATTAAGGCCTTTCTCCAATATGTTCCTAAATGTTTGCGTTGAGTGACTTACGCGTTGGTTCGCAAACGCAATGACGTCATTAAAGCATTGATACCAATCGCAAACAAAAAGTTTGGTTTATGTTCCTCTTATTCCTGTTTTCCAACTTTACAATTTTTAATGCAAATGTTTCTCGACGGCTTTTAATAATTTTAATTATTTAATATTTGTAATTAAAAAATTGGAGATATGCCTACACTTTTTTTGTCCTTTTCTAACTCAGGTGTTGGTATGACAATTGCACATGCGTAAGACGAAGACAAAAATGTAGACATATACGGCTAAAAGTGTATAATACTACGTATATTACGTGCCAATTTTTCTACATGGTGTGATTTACATTTGATCACGTGACTTGAATGCAGCAGGTTTAAATTGATTATTTATAATAATAAAATAGTATAGTTGTAAGTATAAACAATTTACGGAATTATTAATCGTGTTTAAAATCATAAATCTAAATTTTTATTTATTAACAAGTGTTTCTATTGAGTTTATTTCTAAAGCAGAAAGCAACATAGAAGGGCTTTTAACATAACCTAAAAGATAAATTCGCATTGTCATTGTCAGTATATAGCATCGGAATCGTATCTTTAAAAAATATTTTTTTAAGTAAACATCAGTTTTATACGTATAATACGTAAAAAATGTATTAAATAAAGAAAATCTCGAGTGATGCGTCACAACCCTTCACTAGTTTTAGTGCAAAAAGCAGCGTTAATTGATATTGTAAGGCTGAAGTCACATGTTAAAGTAAAGTGTCGCTAATTTTAGCTTGAATTTTAATTTAACGACTTTTAGAAATTGGTCGACACTAATTATTAATCTATAAATAAAAGTTATAAGAAAAATTTTGTCATAAGAGTGAAGTTCCACGATTGTACAAAATTATTAACAGAAAAATTTAATTGAAATGAGAGCGAGAAAAACAATTTTATTGCCTATCTCTCTTGCACTTTTGATTTTCTACTCTGCATTCTATATTTCAGTTTAGACTAATGTAGAATTCTAATGAGGGTACAGAAATATATGTCTACATCTCTTACACTCATGATTTTCTGTTTTAGGTAGAGTTATTAGACGGCAGCTTTACGTTTAGGCGTAAATACATCATATACGGTCATATTTACAAATATATTAACGGTTGTAATAATAGTTATATTTTTTTAAAACGATGGGTCAATCATTTTTAAGGAATAAAAACTATTTCGAATACTGTAATATTTATTTACAAGTATTATTAATTAACGTTAGTATAAAAATTTTACAAAATTTTATTCTAAAATAAATACAGCTGACTGAAACGAATTACAAAACTTTTTATTTTACTTCTAATTTATGGATTCTCCTAAATATAAGCCAGTTTAATGATAATACTTTTGTAAAATGGTACTAATTTATTAAAAATATTTCTATCACTATAAATTGGTTACAGTAGAGTAATACATTAACATAAAAATCAACTTGAAAATGTAAGACTTTGGCTCTTAGAAACATTTTTTGGAAATTCTATTTAGCACTCTACTAAACAAGAACAATTATAAATTTTTGCATAACACTTTAATTTAAAATAACTTTAAATTTTGTATTTAAAAAAAATGTTGAATTAATATCGCATGTAAATCTTTCATATTGAATAAATTTTTTTGCATTACAAAATTTCTTTTGGTCAATTTGTCATCTATGCGTTTAACTAAAAATAAACAAACGAAAATAATACAAAATATAAATTGATGATATAGAATTTTGCTTTAAAAAAGATCAACCTATGAGTGAGTTGAATACAATTATTCAAGTATATATTACTATATTTAGCAGATTTTTAAACGTTTTCAATTACGTCTTTCAAACTTTAAAAAATTGAAAGTGAATTATTAAACTTTATACTCTTTTAAAAATAAAAATGACAATAACTGTCATTTATGCTATTTCACAAACATTTCGATAAGAACTGAAAGAAAATATGCCAAAATTTTTAAAAGTCCATGATTTCAAAGTTGACGACTCCTAATAACAATCCAAATTCTAAATTGTTTCATATGTAATATTCCAAACGTTTAAACCTGTGACAAAAAATTGTTAATAATTAATTATGTTCATTGTAAAAATTGTTTTTTAATATATAAATTCAGTGAATTTTTTATTCTATATTGAGGTTATGTTAAACAAAATTTTTTGCATTTGCTCTTCCATATTTTTTTAAATTAAAAATTTATTTTTATCATACTTTAATAATTTAATAACTTTTACATTATTTGTAAACAAGAAAAGTTATTTACCTAAGTTTTTATTACCTGAAGTACACATCAAAGGATTCTTGTAGCATCTAATACAGATTTCCAAAACAGTGTTTGATATTTACGAACAATTTGTTTCTTGATTTGCGTATGTGGAAAATTTCATGGTTTATGATATTTTCCGGAGTGATGGAAATAAATTCTCTTTCAATATTCACTTCGTATGATACCAGCTCTGTAT